CATTTAATCATAGTAAAAATTCCCTGTCTTAGGTCAGTTAGGATCACCACTTTATTTTAAGAATGTGAAATGTCAAAATAATAGTAGAGAGAATTATTTATTTCAGCTTTTATTTATTTAATCACATACCCAGTGGGTCAGAAGTTTACATACACTCAATTAGTATTTGGTAGCATTGCCTTTAAATTGTTTAACATGGGTCAAACGTTTCGGGTAGTCTTCCACAAGCTTCCCACAATAAGTTGGGTGAATTTTGGCCCATTCCTCCTGACAGAGCTGGTGTAACTGAGTTAGGTTTGTAGGCCTCCTTGCTCGCACATGCTTTTTCAGTTCTGCCCACACATTTTCTATAGGATTGAGGTCAGGGCTTTGTGATGGCCACTCCAATACCTTGACTTTGTTGTCCTTAAGCCATTTTGCCACAACTTTGGAAGTATGCTTGGGGTCATTGTCCATTTGGAAGACCCATTTGCGACCAAGCTTTAACTTCCTGACTGATGTCTTGAGATGTTGCTTCAATATATCCACATAATTTTCCTTCCTCATGATGCCATCTATTTTGTGAAGTGCACCAGTCCCTCCTGCAGCAAAGCACCCCCACAGCATGATGCTGCCACCCCCGTGCTTCATGGTTGGGATGGTGTTCTTCGGCTTGCAAGCACCACCTTTTTCCTCCAAACATAACGATGGTCATTATGGCCAAACAGTTCTATTTGTTTCATCAGACCAGAGGACATTGCTCCAAAAAGTACGATCTTTGTCCCCATGTGCAATTGCAAACCGTAGTCTGGCTTTTTATGGTGGTTTTGGGGCAATGGCTTCTTCCTTGCTGAGCGGCCTTTCAGGTTATGTCGATATAGGAATCGTTTTACTGTGGATATAGATACTTTTGTACCTGTTTCCTCCAGCATCTTCACAAGGTCCTTAGCTGTTGTTCTGGGATTGATTTGCACTTTTTGTACCAAAGTACGTTCATCTCTAGGAGACCGAACGCGTCTCCTTCCTGAGTGGTATGACGGCTGCGTGGTCCCATGGTGTTTATACTTGCGTACTATTGTTTGTACAGATGAACGTGTTACCTTCAGGCGTTTGGAAATTGCTCCCAAGGATGAACCAGACTTGTGGTGGTCTACAATTCTTTTTCTGAGGTCTTTAGATTTTCCCATGATGTCAAGCAAAGAGGCACTGAATTTGAAGGTAGGCCTTGAAATACATCCACAGGTACACACACCTCCAATTGACTCAAATGATGTCAATTAGCCTATCAGAAGCTTCTAAAGCCATGACATCATTTTCTGGAATTTTCCAAGCTATTTAAAGGCACAGTCAACTTAGTGCATGTAAAATTCTGAACCACTGGAATTGTGATACAGTGAATTATAAGTGAAATAATCTGTCTGTAAACAATTGTCTGAAAATTTACTTGTGTCATGCACAAAGTAGATGTCCTAACCGACTTGCCAAAACTATAGTTTGTTAACAAGAAATTTGTGGAGTGGTTGAAAGACGAGTTTGAATGACTCCAACCTAAGTGTTTGTAAACTTCAGACTTCAACTGTACACAGGTTATATAGGGCAGCAGCCTCTAAGGTGCAGCGTTGAGTAACCGTGTGGTAGCCGGCTAGTGATGGCTATTTAACAGTCTGATGGTCTTGAGATAGAAGCTGTTTTTCAGTCTCTCGGTCCCAGCTTTGATGCACCTGTAATGACCTCGCCTTCTGGATGGTAGCAGGGTGAACAGGCCGTGGCTCGGGTGGTTGATGTCCTTGATGATCTTTTTGGCCTTCCTGTGACATCAGGTGCTGTAGGTGTCCTGAAGGGCAGGCAGTGTGCCCCCTCACCACCCTCTGGAGAGCCCTGCGGTTGCGGGCGGTGCATTTGCCATACCAGGTGGTCATACAGCCCGACAGAATGCTCTCAATTGTGCATCTTTAAACGTTTGTGATGGTTTTAGGGGCCAAGTCAAAATTCTTCAGCCTCCTGAGGTTGAAGAGGCGCTGTTGTGCCTTCTTCACCACACTGTCTGTGTGGGTGGACCATTTCAGATTGTCAGTGACGTGTACGCCGAGGAACTTGAAGCTTTTCACCTTCTCCACTGCAGCCCCGTCGATGTGGATAGGGGCGTGCTCCCTCTGCTGTTTCCTGAAGTCCACGATCAGCTCCTTCGTTTTGTTGATGTTGAGGGAGAGGTTATTTTCCTGGCACCTCTCCGCCAGGGCCCTCACCTTCTCCCTGTAGGCTGTCTCGTCATTGTTGGTAATCAGGCCTACTACTGTTGTGTCGTCTGCAAACTTGATGATCGAGTTGGAGGCGTGCGTGGCCACGCAGTCATGGGTGAACAGGGAGTACAGGAGGGGGCTGAGCACGCATCCTTGTGGGGCCCCTGTGTTGAGAATCAGTGAAGTGGAGGTGTTGTTTCCTACCTTCACCACCTGGGGGCAGCCCGTCAGGAAGTCCAGGCCCCAGTTGCACAGGGCGGGGTTCAGACCCAGGGTCCCGAGTTTAATGATGAGCTTGGAGGGTACTATGGTGTTGAAGGCTGAGCTATAGTCAATGAACAGCATTCTTACATAGGTATTCCTCTTGTCCAGATGGGATAGGGCAGTGGGATGGCGATTGCATCGTCTGTGGATCTATTGGGGCGGTAAGCAAATTGAAGTGGGTCTAGGGTGTCAGGTAAAGTAGAGGTGATAGGATACTTAGCTAGCCTCTCAAAGCACTTCATGATGACAGAAGTAATTGCTATGGGGCGATAGTCATTTAGTTCAGTTACCTTTGCTTTCTTGAGTACAGGACAATGGTGGACATCTTGAAGCAAGTGAGGACAGCAGACTGGGATAGGGGGAGATTGAATATGTCCGTAAACACTCCAGCCAGCTGGTCTGCGCATGCTCTAAGGACGCGAAGAACGAGAGCCCACAGTCCTTGGGAGAGGGCTGTGTCGGTGGCACTGTTTTATCCTCAAAGCGGGTGAAGAAGGTGTTTAGCTTGTCCGGGAGCAAAACGTTGGTGTCCACGACGTGGCTGGTTTTCCCTTTGTAATCCGTGATTGTCTGTAGACCCTGCCACATACGTCTTGTGTCTGAGCCGTTGAATTGCGACTCCACTTTGTCTCTGTACTGATGTTTTGCCTGGTTGATTGCCTTACGGAGGGAATAACTACACTGTTTGTATTCGACCATATTCCCAGTCACCTTGCCTGATCCAATGTCATGGGATTACGCCCAGCCACCACCCACATCCTCAAAACCCAAGCCTACTTGATGGTAATAGTGCTCACTGTTGCCCCTAGTGGCCGGTTTTGAAGGCATTTCCCAACATCTTCCAGAAATGGATAGACGTCCAATTTCAACGTCAATCTTGAACGACCTGGCTGTGCTAGGCAGCGCCAGTTACTACTATCCTCCTGGCAGTTCTAAACTTTGTGAGGCATGTCACTTTACCCATCTCTTTGCATAGCCCACCACATACACTGTTTTCTTAACCACAAATAGGTGGATCCATAAATAATTACTGTGGGAATAAATATCACTGAATGATGAAAATATTGGAACAAAGTAGGATAATGCAATTGAAGGCATCAAATGTTCTTACTGAAATTCCCAAAGTCATCCAATTGTTATAATACATGTGAAGCAATAGCCTACGCGCTTGTAGTCAACTATTTCAGCACCATTTCGTGCTGCTTTGAGAACTCGTCTTGATAAATAAATCAATGTCAGATTTTTCACTGAATCTCCATTTGGATATTGATTAGGCTACAATTAGGCTGTGGAAATGTTAGCCAAGCTGAGGTGAGGGCTGCTCATGATCATCTTGTCTAGTTGGCTCATTTATTAGCACTGATCAGAACATTTGACAGCATGTTATGTAGCTTAACAAGTGGATTATTTTGCTCTTCACTCGCAGTCGCTTAGTAGCCTAGGCCTACTCCTGACCAAAAGCCTGCGACTTGTCTTAATCAATCAATGTGATTTTGTTTCACTGAATCTCCATCTGTATATTTGGTTAATTCTCTGGCAGGGCAAATAAGTGGAGGTGGTATAGCTCATCTATTAGTTTGCTCATCTATCACTGATCAGAAACATTTAACATGCAATAATGTAGCCTAAATCAAGTGTAGGCCTATTATTTTTGCTTGATTGAGTATAGGCAACTCCAAAAGCCTGAACATGAGACTTACATGCTTTTGAAAATATAGATTGCTATTATTTTCTATCTGTATCATGATGAAGATCGTCTCAATGTAAGACTCTACGCCTATTCCCGAACAAAGCGGAGTAAGGGTAGGAAAGAGATTAAACATGGTTCAAAAAAGCATGAGTTTGCTTTGGGCTCTGTTTCAAAATATCACTTTTTTTTATGACAGCGGTTCCACAAGTTGCCGTGACGCAAGTTGTGTGGGAAAAATGTTATATTTCATTATATTTTTAGCCTACCATAAAATATGTGTGTTGACTGTGATCAGAGTAGCCTAAGTGTGTTTTGTCTGTTTTAATGAACAAACTAACTATTGATTTCATGTGCATGGCAGCCATGCAGCCTATAGCCAGCACAGACCAGTAACATAATTAATCTCAAAATATGCCATTCTATTCTTTTGAAAATACATTTTATTAGTCTTATAATGTTTAGGACCTGCCTAAGACGAATGAATAATGAATTTCTTTGAGATTTAAAAAAATAGACATCTGCTCACATCTACTCCCACTCCTAAACTTGCTGGGATGTGCATGGGAGATATAAAAGGCTTATCTCGACAAGAATGTGGTAAAAATGGAACCGTATGAATTGGGTTCTAAAAAACATTGGCAGATTTTTTTTTATAGGCAACATACTCTAAAGTCTGTTAGCAAAGGGTAGAAGATACACTCCAATCAATACAGCACGAAAGTGAAAGAACCACTTTTGACCTCACGTCATGACGCATGATTGATATTGCTTTCGCCCAATCATAAATGTACATTTACATATCTTAACCAATCAAACTGCATATGGACCAGGAAGTAGGCTGTCCCCGATAGTTACGATAGGTAGTTAGCTTTTGAACGTTTTCTGTCTCTACCGGGCACGGAGGTAGAGGACGTTGGAGTCACTGTGAAGAGGACCCTCAAATTTTATTTTGGTTATATAATTAGACAACATGTTTTCCCGCATTGCAAGACCCACAATTTGCATTGCTACCAGAAGCTTAACCACCTCCTCACAGGTAAATAATAATATATTTTTTAAAAATAAGTAATTTTGTCAGCCAAGAGAGAACGTGACTAACATTAGTTAGCTAGCTATCTACTAGGTAGCATGGTAGCCATCTAGCTTGTCAGATTAGTTAGACAGCCAGCTAACTAGCTATAACTTGCAATGTCACAGATTCACTTTGCACGAGTTGAGCCACCGCAGAATGGTATACATTGTTTAAAACGAGTGATAGTTACTAACTATATCGTATAAATTAGCGATAGCTGGCTAGCAGGGATGTGTAAACGGTTGATAGCTGCCTGCACTGTATAAGGTCAACTCATGTTTCCTTTACTTTTAGGATTGGCAAGGCATGCGCAAAGCAATTAAGTGTTTTGTCAGTTATCATCTCGAGTTTGTTCTTCATGACATGATGGTAGTGAACCACATCCGTTGGCCCTTTCAAGTTATGAATGATATTAGGATTAGGTGGTTGGGCCTTTACATTTTTTATTTTTTTATTCAGGTTTCAGCTAATGTATCCATATTTAACACACATGAGACACAACAGTAGCCTGTTATTTGAGTCATGGTTAGCCCAAGTGATTATAAACTAAAACTACTGATAATGTGCAGTACAATAGCATTACAAATTATTGCCATGTTTCCTTTCTACACCTGTTTGAGCAAACCTGTGCAAGGTGTTTCATCAATCATGTGTTTATTTTATCCTTGACACACACAAACTCAATGTTAAATATGTTCCTTAAGGTTGGCATTGACAAGGACACAATGGTATAATTCCAGAACCTTTTACATTGATCAAGAAGTAACCCTTTGAGTATAATCAGTTACTATTATCTGTGAGCTTAAGTGTAAGGGTGGCTTACATTCTTTCTACAGCTTAATGAGCCTTGAATCGCCCATTCTGAAATCCTGGCTTCTCAGGAAGTGCGTCTAAGTGGTTTATGGCCTACAAAATACAGATGTCATTTTCCAGTTGATTGGTTTGTCTGTCCCCTCTTTGATATCAGCAAATGACAAGGATTTATTGTGCAAAGATACGTTGCAAAGTTCTACATGGAATTTGCACTATAAACATTGATCTAATGGAACCCATCCTACAAAACCACCAATGAGTCTGTCTCATATAAGCCTATTGCTGGTAATAGATACATCTATATTCTAAAATACAGTTTGTGCTGGAAATCTTCAAACACGCAGAAAATATGTTGGTTCTGTCAGAAATACAGTTAGTAGCCAGGATTTCTCAAATTTGCAGAACAGTATCATTGACATAAATAGTCTGTGAAATTGTCTCCTCTCCCCTTAGAACAATGCCAAGGTGGCAGTGCTGGGTGCGTCCGGCGGTATTGGCCAGCCTCTCTCACTGCTCCTAAAGAACAGTCCTCTGGTGGGCGAACTGTCTCTTTTTGACATTGCCCATACACCTGGAGTGGCAGCTGACCTCAGCCACATTGAGACCAGGGCCCACGTCACTGGTAAGACACCTTCCTGCTGGACATCAGCTTCACTACTACAGTCTTAATACTGTATAGTGAAATGAGTGTGAAAATGTCTGTTTGGTTGATGTCATTTAACTATCATGATTCCTTTACTAGGTTATATGGGTCCAGACCAGTTGGACGCTGCACTGAAAGGCTGTGATGTCGTTGTCATCCCCGCTGGTGTCCCAAGAAAACCTGGTGAGTTCACCCAAGTTCACAATGTGATTCATATTGAAGAACATCTTGTAATGCTTTTCTTTCAATTGAGAAGTGCACACATTACATTTTAAAGTAAAATTCTTCCAGGCATGACCCGTGATGATCTGTTCAACACCAATGCCACCATCGTGGCCACACTGGCCGACGCCGTTGCCCGCAACTGCCCAGAGGCCATGATCTGCATCATCGCCAACCCTGTAAGTACATCACTACCACCTCTCCAGACACCTCACAGATTAACTCACCCTCCTGACGACTCGCATTACTCTAGAGCAGCTCAGACAATTTTGTGTTGTTGCCAAAGAGAAGGTAGCACTGACTTTCAGGAATAGGGGTCAAGGGTTTAATTTGAATGGAAATGTATTTTCCATGCCAGCTCTGTTTAGTTCACTGAATGTGTTTCAATGCTTCAGTTTATATGTCCTTTAATGATACAATATTTTGCTTGAATGCATGTTAAATGGTAAATCCTTAAATATGCCATTGATTGTATAATGGTTGTGTACATAGGAAGGTAATTGTAACATGTGGTTTGACATTTCTGACAAACATAGTTTGGTTTCCAATCCATAGGTCAACTCCACTATACCCATCACATCAGAGGTCATGAAGAAGTATGGAGTCTACAATCCCAATAGAGTGTTTGGAGTCACAACCTTGGACATCGTCAGAGCCAACACTTTCGTTGCAGAGCTGAAAGTAATCCATCTTCAAGCTGCAGAGGATTGAGGACCTCATGCTCCCTATACACACCCTCTATATCTTCAGGAGTGATCTCAAAATTCATAGGCATATCACCCTGAATGGAACAAAGCGTGTTTTGTTTGTATCTTACAGATAAAAAAATTCTGCAGCAAATGCTAGTCAGCTAGTATCCACTCATTGCATAAGGATTGGCAACGCAAGATGGCTGACTATTTGGTGTTTCATATTGCAGGGCCTTGACCCAGCACGTGTCAATGTACCAGTGATTGGAGGTCATGCAGGAAAGACTATTATTCCTCTCATCTCACAGGTAAGAATTGAAGGGCCTTTAAACATGATTGTCTTGAATGCCATCAGTAGGCCTAAATCTTAATCTAATTACAAAGATGACACACATTTGCAATTCCATACTGTTTCATGTAATTGCATTCTGTTAGTATATGAGCTGATATCAGGAATGCCACCCCCCTTTTTGGAGACAAATGTGTTTATGGCTCCCTCTAGTGTGTAACATTCTATTTGTGTGGTTGTGGATCAAAGCAAATTAGGGTTCAACAGTAGGATGGCCTTGATTAGGTATTTGTTTTTAGTCTGTGGCTTTAAGAAATGTCTCATTCATGGTCATTTTAAAATTCAGTTGGAAAAGCAAAAGTGTAAGGTTCTCACTGAACAATGCTTTCCCTGTGAATAACTATACACATTGCACGTCTCTCTGTAGGCAACACCCAAAGTGGAGTTCCCAGCTGACCAGCTGTCTGCTCTGACCGCTAGGATCCAGGATGCTGGCACTGAGGTTGTGAAGGCCAAGGCTGGAGCAGGTAGGCAGTGTTTGTTACCCTGAGGACTGACCAATGACTGTGTGTATGTGTATATATATGTATACGTGTAAATATATGTATACGTATACATATGTGTATACATGTGTATATGTATACATATGTGTATATACATATGTACAGTGAGGGGAAAAAAGTATTTGATCCCCTGCTGATTTTGTACGTTTGCCCACTGACAAAGACATGATCAGTCTTTAATTGTTATTTGAACAGTGAGAGACAGAATAACAACAACAAAAATCAAGAAAAACTCATGTCAAAAATGTTATAAAATTATTTGCATTTTAATGAGGGAAATAAGTATTTGACCCCTCTGCAAAACATGACTTAGTACTTGGTGGCAAAACCCTTGTTGGCAATCACAGAGGTCAGACTTTTCTTGTAGTTGGCCAACAGGTTTGCACACATCTCAGGAGGGATTTTGTCCCACTCCTCTTTGCAGATCTTCTCCAAGTCATTAAGGTTTCGAGGCTGACGTTTGGCAACTCGAACCTTCAGCTCCCTCCACAGATTTTCTATGGGATTAAGGTCTGGAGACTGGCTAGGCCACTCCAGGACCTTAATGTGCTTCTTCTTGAGCCACTCCTTTATTGCCTTGGCCGTGTGTTTTTGGTCATTGTCATGCTGGAATAACCATCCACGACCCATTTTCAATGCCCTGGCTGAGGGAAGGAGGTTCTCACCTAAGATTTGATGGTACGTGGCCCCGTCCATCGTCCCTTTGATGCGGTAAAGTTGTCCTGTCCCCTTAGCAGAAAAACATCCCCAAAGCATAATGTTTCCACCTCTATGTTTGACGGTGGGGATGGTGTTCTTGGGGTCATAGGCAGCATTCCTCCTCCTCCAAACACGGCGAGTTGAGTTGATGGCAAAGAGCTCGATTTTGGTCTCATCTGACCACAATACTTTCACCCAGTTCTCCTCTGAATCATTTAGATGTTCATTGGCAAACTTCAGACGGCCCTGTATATGTGCTTTCTTGAGCAGGGGGACCTTGCGGGCGCTGCAGGATTTCAGTCCTTCACGGCGTAGTGTGTTACCAATTGTTTTCTTGGTGACTATGGTCCCAGCTGCCTTGAGATCATTGACAAGATCCTCCCGTGTAGTTCTGGGCTGATTCCTCACCATTCTCATGATCATTGCAACTCCACGAGGTGAGATCTTGCATGGAGCCCCAGGCCGAGGGAGATTGACAGTTATTTTGTGTTTCTTCCATTTACGTATAATTGCACCAACTGTTGTCACCTTCTCACCAAGCTGCTTGGCGATGGTCTTGTAGCCCATTCCAGCCTTGTGTAGGTCTACAATCTTGTCCCTGACATCCTTTGGTCTTGGCCATGGTGGAGAGTTTGGAATCTGATTGATTGCTTCTGTGGACAGGTGTCTTTTATACAGGTAACAAACTGAGATTAAGAGCACTCCCTTTAAGAGTGTGCTCCTAATCTCAGCTCGTTACCTGTATAAAAGACACCTGGGAGCCAGAAATCTTTCTGATTGAGAGGGGGTCAAATACTTATTTTCCTCATTAAAATGCAAATCAATTTATAACATTTTTGACATGTGTTTTTCTGGATTAATTTGTTGTTATTCTGTCTCTCACTGTTCAAATAAACCTACCATTAAAATTGTTGACTGATCATTTCTTTGTCAGTGGGCAAATGTACAAAATCAGCAGGGGATCAAATACTTTTTTCCCTCACTGTACATACGTATATATATATATATACACACACACACACACACACACACACACACACAGTGGGGGGAAAAAAGTATTTAGTCAGCCACCAATTGTGCAAGTTCTCCCACTTAAAAAGATGAGAGAGGCCTGTAATTTTAATCATAGGTTCACGTCAACTATGACAGGCAAAATGAAGAAAAAAAATCAAGAAAATCACATTGTAGGATTTTTTATGAATTTATTTGCAAATTATGGTGGAAAATAAGTATTTGGTCAATAACAAAAGTTTCTCAATACTTTGTTATATACCCTTTGTTGGCAATGACACAGGTCAAACGTTTTCTGTAAGTCTTCACAAGGTTTTCACACACTGTTGCTGGTATTTTGGCCCATTCCTCCATGCAGATCTCCTCTAGAGCAGTGATGTTTTGGGGCTGTCGCTGGGCAACATGGACTTTCAACTCCCTCCAAAGATTTTCTATGGGGTTGAGATCTGGAGACTGGCTAGGCCACTCCAGGACCTTGAAATGCTTCTTACGAAGCCACTCCTTCGTTGCCCGGGCGGTGTGTTTGGGATCATTGTCATGCTGAAAGACCCAGCCACGTTTCATCTTCAATGCCCTTGCTGATGGAATGAGGTTTTCACTCAAAATCTCACGAAACATGGCCCCATTCATTCTTTCCTTTACACGGATCAGTCGTCCTGGTCCCTTTGCAGAAAAACAGCCCCAAAGCATGATGTTTCCACCCCCATGCTTCACAGTAGGTATGGTGTTCTTTGGATGCAACTCAGCATTCTTTGTCCTCCAAACACGACGAGTTGAGTTTTTACCAAAAAGTTCTATTTTGGTTTCATCTGACCATATGACATTCTCCCAGTCCTCTTCTGGATCATCCAAATGCACTCTAGCAAACTTCAGACGGGCCTGGACATGTACTGGCTTAAGCAGGGGGACACGTCTTGCACTGCAGGATTTGAGTCTCTGGCGGCGTAGTGTGTTACTGATGGTAGGCTTTGTTACTTTGGTCCCAGCTCTCTGCAGGTCATTCACTAGGTCCCCCCGTGTGGTTCTGGGATTTTTGCTCACCGTTCTTGTGATCATTTTGACCCCACGGGGTGAGATCTTGCGTGGAGCCCCAGATCGAGGGAGATTATCAGTGGTCTTGTATGTCTTCCATTTCCTAATAATTGCTCCCACAGTTGATTTCTTCAAACCAAGCTGCTTACCTATTGCAGATTCAGTCTTCCCAGCCTGGTGCAGGTCTACAATTTTGTTTCTGGTGTCCTTTGACAGCTCTTTGGTCTTGGCCATAGTGGAGTTTGGAGTGTGACTGTTTGAGGTTGTGGACAGGTGTCTTTTATACTGATAACAAGTTCAAACAGGTGCCATTAATACAGGTAATGAGTGGAGGACAGAGGAGCCTCTTAAAGAAGAAGTTACAGGTCTGTGAGAGCCAGAAATCTTGCTTGTTTGTAGGTGACCAAATACTTATTTTCCACCATAAATTAGAAATAAATTAATAAAAAATCCTACAATGTGATTTTCAGGATTTTTTTTCTCAATTTGTCTGTCATAGTTGACGTGTACCTATGATGAAAATTACAGGCCTCTCATCTTTTTAAGTGGGAGAACTTGCACAATTGGTGGCTGACTAAATACTTTTTTTCTCCACTGTATACAGTCGGAAGTTTACATACACTTAGGTCGGAGTCATTAAAACTCGTTTTTAAACCACTCCACACATTTCTTGTTAACCAACTATAGTTTTGGCAAGTTGGTTAGGACATCTACTTTGTGCATGACACAAGTAATTTTTCCAACAATTGTTTACAGACAGATTATTTCACTTATAATTCACTGTATCACAATTCCAGTGGGTCAGAATTGTACATACACTAAGTTGAATGTGCCTTTTTAAACAGCTTGGAAAATTCCAGAAAATGATGTCATGGCGTTAGAAGCTTCTGATAGGCTAATTGACATCATTTCAGTCAATTGGAGGTGTACCTGTGGATGTATTTCAAGGCCTACCTTCAAACTCTGTGCATCTTTGCTTGACATCATGGGAAAATCAAAAGAAATCATCCAAGAACTCAGAAAAAAAATTGTATACCTCCACAAGTCTGGTTCATCCTTGGGAGCAATTTCCAAATGCATGAAGGTACCACGTTCATCTGTACAAACAATAGTACGCAAGTATAAACACCATGGGACCACGGAGCCGTCATACCGCTCAGGAAGGAGACGCATTCTGTCTCCTAGAGATTAACATACTTTGGTGCGAAAAGTGCAAATCAATCCCAGAACAACAGCAAAGGACCTTGTGAAGATGCTGGAGGAAACAGGTACAAAAGTATCTATATCCACAGTAAAACGAGTCCTATATCGACATAACCTGAAAGGCCGCTCAGCAAGGAAGAAGCCACTGCTCCAAAACCACCATTAAAAAGGCCAGACTACGGTTTGCAACTGCACATGGGGACAAAGATCGTACTTTTTGGAGAAATGTCCTCTGGTCCAATGAAACAAAAACAGATCTGTTTGGCCATAATGACCATCGTTATGTTTGGAGGAAAAAGGTGGTAGCTTGCAAGCCGAAGAACACCATCCCAACCGTGAAGCACGGGGGTGGCAGCATCATGCTGTGGGGGTGCTTTGTTGCATGAGGGGCTGGCGCACTTCACAAAATAGATGGCATCATGAGGAAGGAAAATTATGTGGATATATTGAAGCAACATCTCAAGACATCAGTCAGGAAGTTAAAGCTTGGTCGCAAATGGGTCTTCCAAATGGACAATGACCTCAAGCATACTTCCAAAGTTGTGGCAAAATGGCTTAAGGACAACAAAGTCAATGAATTGGAGTGGCCATCACAAAACCCTGACCTCAATCCTATAGAACATTTGTGGGCAGAACTGAAAAAGCGTGCACAAGCAAGGAGGTCTACAAACCTGACTCAGTTACACCAGCTCTGTCAAGAGGAATGGACCAAAATTCACCCAATTTATTGTGGGAAGCTTATGGAAGGCTACCCAAAACGTTTGACCGAAGTTAACAATTTTAAAGGTAATACACTCAATTAGTATTTGGTAGCATGTAAACTTCTGACCCACTGTGAATGTGATGAAAGAAATAAAAGCTGAAATTAATAATTATCTCTACAATTATTCTGACATTTCACATTCTTAAAATAGTGGTGATCCTAACTGACCTAAGACAGGGACTTTTTACTAGGATTAAATGTCGGGAATTGTGAAAAACTGAGTTTAAATGTATTTGGCTAAGGTGTATTGTAAACCTCCGTCTTCAACTGTATATATGTGTGTGGATGGATGGACAAAGCCATCGATCACGTGACACCATTCATTCCTGAAGACTCCATAGCGCATTGAAGTCGGTTAAGATGGCATCTCATGGAGACAACATGCACAGTTTGAGCTAGTCCAGGAAGTGACGTTGCAGGCTAGCTCAGTGCTGCCCCCTCATTGAGTAAAAGCCTATTTATTCTTGCTCCTGCAATGCGATACGGAGACTCCGTACGGAGGGCTTAATACAATTGCGGAGCCTCCGGAGGCCAAATCGAGCAATATACTGCATCGCCGTGTGCCTCCCAAATGTTGTAAATGCGGAGGGCTCCTTATACAGTGGCTTCCAAAAGTATTCACCCCCCTTGGCATTTTTCCTATTTTGTTGCCTTAAAATCTGGAATTAAAATGGATTTTTGGGGAGTTTGTATCATTTGATTTTCACAACATGCCTACCACTTTAAAGATGCAAAATATGTTTTATTGTGAAACGAACAAGAAATAAGACGACAAACTGAACTTGAGCGTGCATGACTATTCACACCCCCAAAGTCAATACTTTGTAGAGCCACCTCTTGCAGCAATTACAGCTGCAAGTCTATTGAGGGATGACTCTATAAGCTTGGCACCTCTAGCCACTGGGACTTTTGCCCATTCTTCAAGGCAAAACTGCTCCAGCTCCTTCAAGTTGGATGGGTTCCGCTGGTGTACAGCAATATTTAAGTCATACCACAGATTCTCAATTGGATTGAGGTCTGGGCTTTGACTAGGCCATTCCAATACGTTTAAATGTTTCCCCTTAATCCACTCGAGTGTTGCTTTAGCAGTATGCTTAGGGTCATTGTCCTGCTGGAAGGTGAACCTCTGTCCCAGTCTCAAATCTCTGGAAGACTGAAACAGGTTTCCCTCAAGAATTTCCCTGTATTTAGCGCCATCCATCATTCCTTCAATTCTGACCAGTTTCCCAGTCCCTGCCGATGGTGTTCTCGGGTGATAAGAGGTGTTGGGTTTGCGCCAGACATAGCGTTTTCCTTGATGGCCAAAAAGCTCAATTTTAGTCACATCTGACCATAGTACCTTCTTCCATATGCTTAGGGAGTCTCCCACATGGCTTTTGGCGAACACCAAACGTGTTTGCTTATTTTTTTCTTTAAGCAATGGCTTTTTTCTGGCCACTCTTCCGTAAAGCCCAGCTCTGTGGAGTGTACAGCTTAAAGTGGTCCTATGGACAGATACTCCAATATCCGCTGTGGAGCTTTGCAGCTCCTTCAGGGTTATCTTTGGTCTCTTTGTTGCCTCTCTGATTAATGCCCTCCTTGCCTGGTCCGTGAGTTTTGGTGGGGGGCCCTCTCTTGGCAGGTTTGTTGTGGTGCCATATTCTTTCCATTGTTTAATAATGGATTTAATGGTGCTCCGTGGGATGTTCAAAGTTTCGGATATTTTTTTATAACCCAACCCTGATCTGTACTTCTCCACAACTTTTTCCCTGACCTGTTTGGAGAGCTCCTTGGTCTTCATGGTGCCCCTTGCTTTGTGATGTTGCAGACTCTGGGGACTTTCAGAACATGTGTGTGTGTGTGTGTGTGTGTGTATATATATATATATATATATATATATATATATATATATATATATATATATATACACACACACAGTGGGGAGAACAAGTATTTGATACACTGCTGATTTTGCAGGTTTTCCTACTTACAAAGCATGTAGAGGTCTGTCATTTTTATCATAGGTACACTTCAACTGTGAGAGACGGAATCTAAAACAAAAATCCAGAAAATCACATTGTTTGATTTTAAAGTAATTAATTTGCATTTTATTGCATGACATAAGTATTTGATACATCAGAAAAGCAGAACTTAAAATTTGGTACAGAAACCTTTGTTTGCAATTACAGAGATCATACGTTTCCTCTAGGTCTTGACCAGGTTTGCACACACTGCAGCAGGGATTTTGGCCCACTGCTCCATACAGACCTTCTCCAGATCCTTCATGTTTCTGGGCTGTCGCTGGGCAATACGGACTTTCAGCTCCCTCCAAAGATTTTCTATTGGGTTCAGGTCTGGAGACTGGCTAGGCCACTCCAGGACCTTGAGATGCTTCTTACGGAGCCACTCCTTAGTTGCCCTGGCTGTGTGTTTCGGGTCGTTGTTATGCTGGAAGACCCAGCCACGACCCATCTTCAATGCTCTTACTGAGGGAAGGAGATTGTTGGCCAAGATCTCGCGATACATGGCCCCATCCATCCTCCCCTCAATACGGTGCAGTCGTCCTGTCCCCTTTGCAGAAAAGCATCCCCAAAGAATGATGTTTCCACCTCCATGCTTCACGGTTGGGATGGTGTTCTTGGGGTTGTACTCATCCTTCTTCTTCCTCCAAACACGGCGAGTGGAGTTTAGACCAAAAAGCTATATTTTTGTCTAATCAGACCACATGACCTTCTCCCATTCCTCCTCTGGATCATCCAGATGGTCATTGGCAAACTTCAGACGGCCTGGACATGCGATGGCTTGAGCAGGGGGACCTTGCGTGCGCTGCAGGATTTTAATCCATGACGGCGTAGTGTGTTACTAATGGTTTTCTTTGAGACTATGGTCCCAGCTCTCTTCAGGTCATTGACCAGTTCCTGCCGTGTAGTTCTGGGCTGATCCCTCACCTTCCTCATGATCATTGATGCCCCACGAGGTGAGATCTTGCATGGAGCCCCAGACCGAGGGTGATTGACCGTCATCTTGAACTTCTTCCATTTTCTAATAATTGCGCCAACAGTTGTTGCCTTCTCACCAAGCTGCTTGCCTATTGTCCTGCAGCCCATCCCAGCCTTGTGCAGGTCTACAATTTGGTAGAAGGATTACTTTTATCCTATCCCAGGTATTCCTTAAAGAGGTGGGGTTTCAAGTGTCTCCGGAAGGTGGTGAGTGACTCCGCTGTCCTGGCGTCGTGAGGGAGCTTGTTCCACCATTGGGGTGACAGAGCAGCGAACAGTTTTGACTGGGCTGAGCGGGAACTGTGCTTCCGCAGAGGTAGGGGGGCCAGCAGGCCAGAGGTGGATGAACGCAATGCCCTCGTTTGGGTGTAGGGACTGATCAGAGCCTGAAGGTACGGAGGTGCCGTTCCCCTCACAGCTCCGTAGGCAAGCACCATGGTCTTGTAGCAGATGCGGGCTTCAACTGGAAGCCAGTGGAGTGTGCGGAGGAGTGGGGTGACGTGAGAGAACTTGGGAAGGTTGAACACCAGACGGGCTGCAGCATTCTGGATGAGTTGTATGGGTTTAATGGCACAGGCAGGGAGCCCAACCAACAACGAGTTGCAGTAATCCAGACGGGAGATGAAAAGTGCCTGGAGTAGGACCTGTGCCTCTTCCTGTGTAAGGTAGGGTCGTACTCTGTGAATGTTGTAGAGCATGAACCTACAGGATCGGGTCACCGCTTTGATGTTAGCAGAGAACGACAGGGTGTTGTCCAGGGTCACGCCAAGGTTCTTTGCACTCTGGGAGGAGGACACAACGGAGTTGTCAACCGTGATGGCGAGATCATGGAGAGGGCAGTCCTTCCCCGGGAGGAAAATTTACTTATTTGACAACTTCCTTCACAACAGATCTGCTCTGCGAAGCGCAGGAAGTATGAATTCCCTGACTTCTGCAGAGGCCGTATTACAGTAAATGCTGTACGGCCACTGCAGATAACGGATTGACCATGCAGAGCCTTTAACTCTAGTAGATGGCTGACCGGGGTACTACAGGCTGCCATTGGCAACTAAATTAACTTCTGTGTGCGATTTTCTTTTTTTAAATAATTGGTTCAAGGACATATTAGAAGCAATTATTGGTACCATAATAGTCTTTTAATTATTTTTTTTAACGAAATTGAATGTTTTTTGGTTTATTTTCACTATAATGGGGTATCCTGTTTTCCGCTCAGCCCAGTCATGGTCGGAATTGAACTTCCATGGCTTCAATGAGAGGGGGCAGTTGTTCTCTCCTGGGACTGACTGCTTCTCAATGAAACAGTCCCTTTAAGTAATCCCGAGTGGCGCAGTGCTAGCTGTGCCACTAGAGATCCTGGTTCGAATCCAGGCTCTGTTGTAGCCGGCCGCGACCGGGAGACCCATGGGGCGGCGCACAATTGGCCCAGCATCGTCCAGGGTAGGGGAGGGAATGGCCGGCAGGGATGTAAATGTAGCTCAGTTGGTAGAGCATGGTGTTTGCAACGCCAGGGTTGTGGGTTCAAGTCCCACAGGGGGCCAGTATGAAAAAATAAATAAATAATGTATGCACTCACTAACTGTAAGTCGCTCTGGATAAGAGCGTCTGCTAAATGACTAAAATTTAAAATATAAATTGAGCTCTAACTCGCTAACCTATGTGTGTTCAGGCTCTGCTACGTTGTCCATGGCCTACGCTGGGGCTAGGTTCACCTTTTCTGTCCTGGATGCCATGAACGGAAAGGAGGGAGTCGTAGAGTGCGCGTACGTAAGGTCAGAAGAGACCGAATGCAAATACTTCTCCACACCTCTCCTCCTTGGGGTAAGTCCTGCACCACCTTATTAACAGGTTTATAACTTGGAGACTGTAATTTCACCTTTTGCTTATTGATTTATTGATGTTGTACTTAAAGTCCCCATACTACGTAATTTTATTTTAAATCAATGCCTAATAAATCACTGTTTATTTAATGAAAATAACTTAACTATATTTTGAATGATTTATATCCCTGAGCCTCCTTTGGCCCTTAGTGCTCAGTCTGATCGTGTGGGCGTAAGGAAAAAAATATTTACATACACAGCCTTGATTGGCTGTTAGGATGGTCTAGAGCTCACCCGCTTACCCAGATGAACAGCCATTGGTCTATTATAATCCGATCACATTGTGACGTTATGATGTGGGTCAAAAGTTCCATCCTACCTGAACAGGCAGAAATTACTGGCATTTTCACAATTTCTGTGTTATTTTGACCTCGTAGTGTGGAAATATATATATATTTTAATACAGGAAAATCACATTTTTTAACTGCACTGCCCCTTTTTTAATTCAAGTTCCTATTTGAATGACAGACACATCTTTCTTGAATACAGTTGATAATCTGAAGTGGTAACCAGGAGGAATATTTTTGTGTCCTTATAGAAACACGGAATTGAGAAGAACCTCGGCCTGGGCAAGCTGTCAGCCTTTGAGGAGAATCTGGTGGCTGGTGCCATTGGTGAGCTGAAGGGCTCCATCAAGAAGGGCGAGGATTTTGTTGCTAACATGAAGTGAACAGGGTTTGAATCGCTCAACCTGTGGTTATTTATATTGTCCAGTCACATAAATGACACCAGGCCTCTCCAAAATCAAAGTTTCATCATGCCTGACGAAGCAGTAGTTTGTTACTGATCAGAAATATGAACTCTATGAAACAGTGGACCTCACCATCTTGCACTGGATCAATGTAGGTTTGAGAGGGATCTCTGAGAGAATCATGACCGACTCATGTAGCTCTTACATAGGCATTCAAATGTGACTCCTGTTTGCAATTTGGAATGTCAAAGTAGGCTCCACGTAACTATGCATGGAATTATTTATTGGGTAAAGTAGTATTTTGTCTTCGCCCATCAACTCAACTATTCTTGTGGCTTCTTTCAAATGTATAAAGAAATCTCAACCCCATTTACATTTTGTGTTTTGAATGTTAATATATTAAGGGAAGGTGTCCATTGACATGTCAATCAGAATTCCAATGTTCCAAATGTATCACCTTGAGTGTCTGTCAATGATATTCAGTTATACATTTTAATTTGGACACTGAAATGTGTAACAAGTGGCGTCCAGCTGCTAAAAACTAAATTAAACGCTGAAAAACATTGAAACATTTTTTAGAATTAATTTGGATCTGTTGAGCTATGGGGAAAGTGTGGTCATGAAATGGATAATGGAAATATTTGGAATGAGCTCATTATTACCTTGTAACCAAGGAGAGTACGACAGCAGAAGCACACTACAGACTGTCTTGCTAGCTAGCTAGAGATAAAATATGCAGACATATTTCGGGTTAATTTTGACTTCGGAATAACCTTTACATATTTTAATAACTATGGTTGGTGGCGGTATTTAATTACTGAGATCAATACCTTTTCCTTTCAAGCAATGTGAATGCGCTCGAGAATGGCACAGTCCTCTGTTTCCACGCCAATAATTTGACAACGAGGGGTGGGAGAGTTCATTCAGAGAAGTACGGATGGTGCGACGGGTCCAGTTGCCAACAGCTGGTGTCACCAGGTTTTCATGTCTATGGGTGTTACCTTTGTAAATTCGGCCCAACCTGCCACTTTCCTGGCCCGGGACAACATCTCAAATGTCATCAGTTGGTGAAAGCAGCTATACACGGAGTATACCAAACATTAGGAACAACTCCACAGGGCCTATTTAGACTAGAAGGAATCCAAGAGAGTACATACATATTTAATGTATGTGTTACATTATTTCAGTAGGATGGAGAAGAAGTGGAATACCTGGAATATTACTCAAAGCTATTCTCAATATTGCTATACAGCATAGGGCATGCTGCACACTTGTTATGTTTGGAGAAATGAGCTGCTCGTTGTGTATTATAGTGCGTTGACAAAGCACGTGCATTAAAGGTGCCAAGAAAAGGAAGCATGGATAGATGATGCTGGTCCCCGCTGCGCTGCTGAGTCACACTCTGTGACAAAGCTTCTGTCACCTACGTCACCGCTCCACACTAGATGCTGGTGTAATAAAGGACTTATGTAACTGAATCATTGCTGGCCTGTCCTCTCCAAGGATGGATTCTAACCTAAGGTATGTAACATCTCACTCTCCTGGCTCACAAGGCTTGTACAATAATGTCCCAAAGGGCTAGAGTGGAAGGACGGTGGACTGTGGTTGTGTTGTTTTGTCATAAAATAGAGACACGTATTTCTATTGGGAGCAACTAGTAGCGTAACCTCTATGCTTTCTGCTGATGAGAGATGATAATTCATTCCCCAATAATGTATATATATTTTTAAGTTGACTGAATATGAATTGTGACAGGCACTGACACGGCAAGCATAAACCTAATTGGTATTCATTGATAAGATCTATCATAGATGTTAAATACTTCAGCTAAAAATGCTGTGGGAAAATTAATATACAAAAATATAAACGCAACATTTAACAATTTCAAAGATTTTACTGAGTTACAGTTCATATGAGGAAATCAGTCAATTTAAATTAAGTCAATAGGTCCTGATGTATGGATTTCAAGACTGGGAATACAGATATGGTTCTGTTTGTCACAGATACCTTACAAAAAAAGTAGGGGAGTGGATCAGAGAACCAGTCAGTATCTGGTTTGACCACAATTTGCCTCATGCAGCACAACACATCTCATTCACATAGAGTTGATCAGGCTGTTGATTGTGGCCTGTGGAATGTTGTCCCAATCTTTCAATGGCTGTGTGAAGTTGTGGATATTGGCGGGAACTGGAACATGCAGTTGTACAGGTCGATCAAGAGCATCCCAAACATGCTAAATGGGTGACATGTCTGGTGAGTATGCAGGCCATAGAAGAACTGGGTCATTTTCAGCTTCCAGGAATTGTGCACAGATGCTTGCGACATGGGGCTGTGCAACATGAAACATACAGTGGGGAAAAAAAGTATTTAGTCAGCCACCAATTGTGCAAGTTCTCCCACTTAAAAAGATGAGAGAGGCCTGTAATTTTCATCATAGGTACACGTCAACTATGACAGACAAAATTAGAAGACAAAAATCCAGAAAATCACATTGTAGGATTTTTTATGAATTTATTTGCAAATTATGGTGGAAAATAAGTATTTGGTCAATAACAAAAGTTTCTCAATACTTTGTTATATACCCTTTGTTGGCAATGACACAGGTCAAACGTTTTCTGTAAGTCTTCACAAGGTTTTCACACACTGTTGCTGGTATTTTGGCCCATTCCTCCATGCAGATCTCCTCTAGAGCAGTGATGTTTTGGGGCTGTCGCTGGGCAACACGGACTTTCAACTCCCTCCAAAGATTTTCAATGGGGTTGAGATCTGTAGACTGGCTAGGCCACTCCAGGACCTTGAAATGCTTCTTACGAAGCCACTCGGGCGGTGTGTTTGGGATCATTGTCATGCTGAAAGACCCAGCCACGTTTCATCTTCAATGCCCTTGCTGATGGAAGGAGGTTTTCACTCAAAATCTCACGATACATGGCCCCATTCATTCTTTCCTTTACACGGACCATGCTTCACAGTAGGTATGGTGTTCTTTGGATGCAACTCAGCATTCTTTGTCCTCCAAACACGACGAGTTGAGTTTTTACCAAAAAAAAGACGGGCCTGGACATGTACTGGCTTAAGCAGGGGGACACGTCTGGCACTGCAGGATTTGAGTCCCTGGCGGCGTAGTGTGTTACTGATGGTAGGCTTTGTTACTTTGGTCCCAGCTCTCTGCAGGTCATTCACTAGGCCCCCCCGTGTGGTTCTGGGATTTTTGCTCACCGTTCTTGTGATAATTTTGACCCCACGGGGTGAGATCTTGCGTGGAGCCCCAGATCGAGGGAGATTATCAATGGTCTTGTATGTCTTCCATTTCCTAATAATTGCTCCCACAGTTGATTTCTTCAAACCAAGCTCCTTACCTATTGCAGATTCAGTCTTCCCAGCCTGGTGCAGGTCTACAATTTTGTTTCTGGTGTCCTTTGACAGCTCTTTGGTCTTGGCCATAGTGGAGTTTGGAGGATGACTGTTTGAGGTTGTGGACAGGTGTCTTTTATACTGATAACAAGTTCAAACAGGTGCCATTAATACAGGTAACGAGTGGAGGACAGAGGAGCCTCTTAAAGAAGAAGTTACAGGTCTGTGAGAGCCAGAAATCTTGCTTGTTTGTAGGTAACCAAATACTTATTTTCCACCATAATTTGCAAATAAATTCATAAAAAATCCTACAATGTGATTTTCTTTTCTTTTCTCAATTTGTCTGTCATAGTTGATGTGTACCTATGATGAAAATTACAGGCCTCTCTCATCTTTTTAAGTGGGAGAACTTGCACAATTGGTGGCTGACTAAATACTTTTTTTCCCCACTGTAAGGTGATGGCGGCGGATGAATGGCATGACAATGGGCCTCAGGATCTCGTCACGGTATCTCTGTGCATTCAAATTGCCATCGATAAAATGCAATTGTGTTCGTTGTCCGTAGCTTATGCCTGCCCATACCATAACCCAACCGCCACCATGGGCACTCTGTTCACAATGTTGACATCAGCAAACCACGCGCCCACACGACGCCATCTGCCATCTGCCCGGTACAGTTGGAACCAGGATTCATCCGTGAAGGGCACACTTCTCCAGCATTCCAGTGGCCATCGAAGGTGAGCATTTGCCCACTGAAGTTGGTTATGACACTGAACTGCAGCCAGGTCAAGACCCTGGTGAGGACGACGAGCATGCAGATGAGCTTCCCTGAGATGGTTTCTGACAGTTTGTGCAGAAATTATTTGGTTGTGCAAACCCACAGTTTCATCAGCTGTCCGGGTGGCTGGTCTCAGACGATCCTGCAGGTGAAGAAGCCGAATGTGGAGGTCCTGGGCTGGCGTGATTACACCTGGTCTGCGGTTGTGATGCTGGTTGGAAATACTGCCAAATTCTCTAAAACGACAATGGATGCAGCTAAGGGTAGAGAAATGAACATAACATTATCTGCCAACAGCTCTGGTGGACATTCCTGCAGTCAGCATGCCAATTGCATGCTCCCTCAAAACTTGAGACATCTGTGGCATTGTGTTGTGTGATAAAACTGCACATTTTAGAGTGGCCTTTTATTGTCCCCAGCACAAGGTGCACCTGTGTAATGATCATGCTGTTTAATCAGCTTCTTGATATGCCACACCTGTCAGGTGGATGGATTATCTTGGCAAAGGAGAAATGCTCACTAACAGGGATGTAAACAAATTTGTGCACAAGATTTGAGAGAAATAAGCTTTAAGTGCATATGGAAAATTTCTGGGATCTTTTATTTCAGCTCATGAAACATGGGACCAAAACTTGTTGCGTTTATATTTTTGTTCAGTATATATAAATTGTGCATAATTCCTAAAAATATCACCATAATGCAAATAAGTGTAACGATTAACATTTAAATGAGTGCTGCTGAATCCTGTCATTTGTAGCTTCCTATTTATTTTCACCTCGATCAGATACTGGGATATTAACAGCTTTGCTGTAGCACTGGTGACAGATGAGGACCTTGTTTTCTTCTCTTCTCACGTTTTCAATCCCTCTCTTCCATCCATCCATCCTCCCTCAGCCCATAAGCTGGCCCAGCACCTGGGCACGCCAGTCCATGAGATCAACGGCAGGTTGCCGGGGCGCCCAGATGGCCAGGGTACAACCATGACCACCACACTGCTCCTGAGTCGCCACGCCCAGACCCCACTCCAGCCCGTCCTCTGGACCCTGTCCGCAGCCCCTTCCACCTCCTCCCCCAGGGGCCTAAGGCCAGCCAGGACCAGGGTTTCCCTATCACTAGACCCAGGGCTCAGAGCTTCTTTCACCCCCAACTGCAGTATCAGATCCTCCCTCTCTCCTGATCCAGGCCCCGGGCCTCCAGGGAGATGAAGACTCCTTCTCCCAACAGGTAAGAGAATGAGAAAATGATGGTGATGGTATTGATGAAGATTTTAGTAATATTGATGATGATACTATAAAAGACAGGTTGAGAAGAATCATCTTGAACGCGTTGCACAACACGTCACTTCCTGTTAAACGTGGAATGTGGGAGAACTCGGATTGTTGTTTTGGAACATTTGTTGTTTTGGAAACCTTTGAAAGTCTATTGAAAAGGTTTGGTTACTAGCTAGATACCTTTTGAGCTTGGATCCCGCGACGCGGTTGGCATCAGTTGCTGGTCTGAGGAGGTGCTTGGCGTAGCAGCTAGCCTAGCTAGCTGCCTATCAAGCTAGCAGGGTTTTCTTGAGGGCTTGAATGCAGACACGACGCGGTTAGCCATTGTGGCTGGGACTGCGGATTGTGCCGGGCTTGTGGCTGTCTAGGTCACTGCTGTTTGTTGTTGTTGTTTCTAATCTTACCCCCGACCTGCCCTGTCTGGAACTGTGAGGAGTAACAGCGTAACCTACGTTGCTACCATGACAAAGACCAAAGCCGGTGGGAGTACCGTTGAGGAGAGTGGTGTCTATCACAGGTGAAGGATCTTTTAAACTAACAAAAATAGTTCTACAAGCAGTTGTTACAATAACAAGAAAATAGCTTCAAGTTGCCATACTGATGAAGTCAACTAATAAAAGAATGGACGACAGGAGAACGGCAAGATGACAGCAATCTGTAAGTCATTGAGAGAGGACATCAGTTCTGTATGTGAATCCATGATAACAATGACAGAGAAATCAGATTATCTCGAGGGACAATCAAGGCGGAACAACATGGTTGTGGACGGAATTGCAGAATCTCCACATGAGACCTGGATGGAGTCTGAGGACAAAGTGAGGGAAATTATCTTGGAGAAACTGAAGATGGACCACCGGAAGATTGAGGTGGAGCGCGCCCACAGGACTGGAAAACCCACCACTGGCCCAGGTGACAGGCCCAGAATGATAGTAGTCAAGTTCCTGAGGTTCAAGGACAAGGTAGCTGTTCTGGAAAAAGCCAAGAACTTGAGAGGAACGTACATCTTCCTCAACAAGGACTATCCTGAAGCTGTGCACCAGAAGAGGAAAGAACTTATCCCAGCCATGAAAGCTGCCAGAGCGCGTTGGGACATTGCTTACATCCGCTATGACAGGCTCTTTGTCAAAAGCCTGGAAGGGATGAGCGAGCCAAGCCTATGGGTTCGTAGCTTCAACCACGCAGCACACACACACACACACCAACTGATTTAATGGACTGCTGAATTTTTTTCTTTTTTTTTTCTTAGTTTGCTCTTTTCCATATTATGTCTATCTCTGATAAACTACCCAGGAAAGGGCTGAAAATAGCCCATATTAATATATGTAGCCTTAGAAATAAGGTTCATGAAATCAATAACTTGCTAACATCAGATAACATTCATATATTAGCAATTTCTGAGACTCACTTAGATAATTAATTTGATGATACAGCAGTAGCAATACAAGGATATAACATCTATAGAAGATACAGGAATGCTTATGGGAAAGGTGTTGCTGTATATATATTCAGAGACATATCCCTGTAATGCTTAGAGAATATCTTATGTCAAGTGTTATTGAAGTGTTGTGGTTGCAGGTTCTGGGGTGTTGCTATAGGCCACCAAGTGATAACAGTCAGTATCTAAATAATATGTTTGAAATGCTTGATAGTGTATGTGATGTAAACAGAGAGGTCTACTTTCTTGGGGACCTGAATATTGACTGGTTTTCATCAAGCTGTCCGCTCAAGAGGAAGCTTCTTACTGTAACCAGTGCCTGTAATCTGGTTCAGGTTATTAATCAACCTACCAGCGTGTTTACAAACACTACAGGAACAAGATCATCCACATGTATTGATCACATTTTTACTTTACCTGTACAACTTTGTTCTGAAGCTGTATCCGTACCCATTGGATGCAGTGATCACAATATAGTGGCTATATCCAGGAAAGCCAAAGTTCCAAAAGCTGGGCCTAAAATAGTATATAAGAGATCATACAAAAGATTTTGCTGTGACTCTTATGTGGATGATGTTAAAAATATTTGTTGGTCTGATGTGATTAATAAGGAGCATCCAGACACTGCACATGATGAATTTATGAAATTGCTTCTTCCAATTATTGATAAATATACACCTGTTATGAAACTGACTGTTAGAACTGTTAAGGCTCCATGGATCGATGAGGAATCGAAAAAAACATATGGTTAACAGATGGGGCAAAAGGAGTGGCTAATAAGTCTGGCTGCACATCTGACTGGCTGACTTACTGCAAATTGAGAAATTATGTCACTAAACTCAACAAAAGAAGAAGAAACTATTAAGAAGCCAAGATCAATGATATAAAGAATGATGGAAAAAAACTTTGGAGTACTTTAAATGAAATTATGGGCAGAAAGATATTCAACTCCATCTTTCATCGAATCAGATGCCAATTATTTTAATGATTACTTCATTGGCAAAGTGGGCAAACTTAGGCAGGAAATGGCAACAACGAACAGTGTGCCATCGTACTCATGTATAAAAAAAACAAATAACGAAATAAAAGCATTGTACGTTTGAATTTTGTAAAGCTAGTATGGGAGAGGTAGAAAATTATTGTTATCGATCAATAATGACAAACCTCCTGGCATTGACAACTTAGATGGAAAGCTACTGAGGATGGAAGCTGACTCTATAGCCACTCCTATCTGTAAAATCTTTAATCTGAGTCTAGAGGAAAGTCTTTGTCCTCAGGCCTGGAGGGAAGCCAAAGTAATTCCGCTACCCAAGAGTGGTAAAGCGGTCATTATTGGTTCTAACAGCAGACCTATCAGCTTGCTGCCAGCTCTTAGCAAACTGTTGGAAAAAATGGTGTTTGACCAAATACAATGCTATTGCTCTGTAAACAAATTAACAACAGACTTTCAGCATGCTTATAGAGAAGGGCAATCAACATGTACTGCACTGACACAAATGACTGATGCTTGGTTGAAAGAAATTGATAATAATAAGATTTTGGGAGCTGTACTGTTAGATTTCAGTGCAGTCTTTGATATTATTGACCATAACCTGATGAGAAAACGTATGTGGTATGGCTTTTCAACCTGTGCCATATCGTGGATTCTAATAGAACTCAGAGGGTTTTCTTTAATGGAAGCTTCTCTAATGTCCAACATGTAGGGTGTGGTGTACTGCAGGGCAGCTCTCTAGGCCCTCTACTCTTTTCTATTTTTACCAATGACCTGCCACTGGCATTAAAGAAAGCATGTGTGTCCATGTATGCTGATGATTCAACCATACACGCATCAGCAACCACAGCTAATTAAGTCACTGAAACCCTTAACAAAGAGTTGCAGTCTGTTTTGGAATGGGTGGCCAGTAATAAACTGGTCCTGAACATATCTAAAACTAAGAGCATTGTATTTGGTAAAAATCATTCTCTAAGTTCTAGACCTCAGCTGAATCTGGTAATGAATGGTGTGGCTGTTGAATAAGTTGAAGAGACTAAATTACTTGGTGTTACCTTAGATTGTAAACTGTCATGGTCAAAACACATACAGTGCCTTGCAAAGTATTCATTTTTCCTATTTTGTTGCATTACAACCTGTAATTTAAATTGATTTTTATTTGGATTTCATGTAATGGACATAAAAACTTTTCAAAATTGGTGAAGTGAAATTAAAAAAATAACTATGCTTAAACTTAACTTCAAATTTTGACTTTTGGAGAAATGGAACAACACAGAGCAGCAAAAGTAAAAAAAACACTTCAAATGTTGACGTTTGGAGCAACTTCAAAATATAACGTTTGGAGAACGTGGATGAACGTCTAATTCTGCAGTGAGACGGTGATAGCTTGTTGGCCTAGCAGCCATCAAAAGATGAATGCCTGATGTCCACCTGAGGCATATGGCTTTTATTTTGCTGGATGGTTGCCCGCATTTTCCGTACTTGACGCACATGTGCTTCGCTTTTCAACTCGCTAAAAGCTAGTTGGAGTCTGTGTGTGTACTTCCGTTTGTACCACCACACGGTAAAGAAATGCAGGAGTTGAAATATTGAATGCATGCGGTACACCGAACACACCGCAGCCTAATGCAGCACCCCCAATGTAGCGCTGCAGACTGCTCCATTGAAAATGAATGACTTCCTCCAGAACACAAAGAGTTTGATGCATCTGGTGGACATGAGGCATAAGAGCTTAGTGCGGTGCCAATGTCACCTCAGCATTATGGCTACATTTCATACTAAGTTGTTGGCAGAACTTTACCCAATCATGACTAGGTTGATTGGTGGAAATAAAAGTAGAGGCTTTGTCGCTGGCAATACCTTTCATATATAAAGACAATTCTGCAAAAAGTTGGCGGAAAAAAACGTCTTGATTTCAAAGTTGTATTAAAGTGTAAAGATTATTAGTTACTGATTGCAACCAGAGAGGATGGAAACCTACTATAAAATCTGTTGCAACTTATGTACAATGTTTGGCATCTTTAGGGCTATATAGACTATATAGGACTACAGACCCTTGGTGTAGAAAGCGTTCCATAGGGATGCTGGCCCATGTTGACTCCACTGCTTCCCACAGTTGTGTCAAGTTGGCTGGATGTCCTTTGGGTGGTAGACCCTTCTTGATACACAGGGGAAACAGTTGAGCGTGAAAAACCCAGCAGCGTTGCAGTTCTTGACACACTCAAACTGGTGTGCCTGGCACCTACTACCATACCCTGTTCAAAGGCACTTAAATATTTTGTCTTGCCCATTCACCCTCTGAATGGCACACATACACAATCCATGTGTCAATTGTCTCAAGGCTTAAATATCCTTCTTTAACCTATCTCCTCCCCTTCATCTACACTGATTGAAGTGGATTTAACAAGTGACATCAATAAGGGATCATAGCTTTCACCTGGATTCACCTGGTCAGTCTATGTCTTGGAAAGAGCAAGTGTTCCTAATGTTTTGTACACTCAGTGTATGCACATGCACTGCCTTGCAAAAGTATTCATCCCCCTTGGCGTTTTTCCTATATTGTTGCATTACAACCTGTAATTTAAATTGATTTTTATTTGGATTTCATGTAATGGACCTACACAAAATAGTCCAAATTGGTGAAGTGAAATGAAAAAAATAACTTGTTTCAAAATATTCAAAAAAATAAATAACGGAAAAGTGGTGCGTGCATATGTATTCACCCCCTTTGCTATGAAGCCCCTAAATAAGATCTGGTGCAACCAATTACCTTCAGAAGTCACATAATTAGTTAAATAGAGTCCACCTGTGTGCAATCTAAGTGTCACATGATCTCAGTATATATACACCTGTTCTGAATGCCCAGAGTCTGCAACACCACTAAGCAAGGGGCACCACCAAGCAAGCGGCATTAATCAGAGAGGTAACAAAGAGACCAAAGATAACCCTGAAGGAGCTGCAAAGCTCCACAGCGGAGATTGGAGTATCTGTCTATAGGAACACTTTAAGCCGTACACTCCACAGAGCTGGGCTTTACGGAAGAGTGGCCAGAAAAAAGCCATTGCTTAAAGAAAATAATAAGCAAACATGTTTGGTGTTCGCCAAAAGCCATGTGGGAGACTCCCCAAACATATGGAAGAAGGTACTCTGGTCAGATGAGACTAAAATTTAGGTTTTTGGCCATCAAGGAAAATGTCTGGCGCAAACTCAACACCTCATCAACCCGAGGCATGGGGGTGGCAGCATCATGCTGTGGGAATGTTTTTAATCGGCAGGGACTGGGAAACTGGTCAGAATTGAAGGAATGATGGATGGCGCTAAATACAGGGACATTCTTGAGGGAAACCTGTTTCAGTCTTCCAGAAATTTGAGACTCGGACGGAGGTTCATCTTCCAGCAGGACAATGACCCTAAGCATACTGCTAAAGCAACATTCAAGTGGTTTAAGGGGAAACATTTAAATGTCTTGGAATGGCTTAGTCAAAGCCCAGACCTCAATCCAATTGAGAATCTGTGGTATGACTTAAAGATTGCTGTACACCAGCTGAACCCATCCAACTTGAAGGAGCTGGAGCAGTTTTGCCTTGAAGAATGGACAGTGGCTGATGTGCCAAGCTTATAGAGACATACCTCAAGAGACTTGCAGCTGTAATTGCTGCAAAAGGTGGCTCTACAAAGTATTGACTTTGGAGGAGTGAATAGTTATGCATGCTCAAGTTCTGTTTTTTTGTTTTATTTCTTGTTTGTTTCACAAGAAAAAATATTTTGCATCTTCAAAGTGGTAGGCATGTTGTGTAAATCTAATTATACAAACCCCCCAAAAATCCATTTAAATTCCAGGTTGTAAGGCAACAAAATAGGAAAAATGCCAAGGGGGGTGAATACTTTTGGAAGCCATTCAATGGTTGTAAAGATGGGGACAGGTCAGCCCGTAATAAAGAAATGCTCTACTTTTTTGACACCACACTCCACAAAGCAATTCCTGCAGGCTCTAGTTTGATCTTATCTTGATTATTGTCCAGTCATATGGTCAAGTGCTGCAAAGAAATACCTAGTTAAGCTGCAGCTGGCCCAGAACAAATCCGCATATCTTGCTCTTCATTGTAATCACAGGGCTAATATTAATACTATGCATGCCAGTCTCCTTCAGCTAAGAGTTGAGGACCTTGAATTTTTTTTGTATTTTACCCTCTTTTTCGATCTTGTCTCATTGCTGCAACTCCCCAACGGCCTCGGGAGAGGCGAAGGTCGAGTCATGCGTCCTCCGAAACATGACGCTTCTTAACACCCCCCTGCACCAATGTGTTGGAGGAAACACCATTCAACTGAAGACCGAAGTCAGCCTGCAGGCGCCCGGCCCGCCACAAGGAGTTGCTAGAGCGCGATGAGCAAAGTAAAGCCCCCCCATCCAAACGCTCCCCTAACCCGGACGATGCTGGGCCAATTGTGCTCCGCCGTGTAGGACTCCCGGTCACGGCCGGTTGGGACACAGCCTGGGATCGAACCCGGGTCTGTAGTGACGCCTCAAGCATTGCGATGCAGTGCCTTAGACCGCTGCGCAACTCGGGAGGCGATAAATACTTTGTTGAGGGAAAATATACATTATATAATTGTAATGTGTTGTTGTCTCACCTAACTATCTTAAGATGAATGCACTAATTGTCAGTCGCTCTGGATAAGAGCATCTGCTAAATGACTAAAATGTAAATGTAAAATGTAATGTAGTTAGTATCATACTGCACAGTGCTGAAATTCATACATAACCTCTCTTGGATAAAAACAGACTGCATCACGTTAAGATATTTTAACTTTGGACATACCTCCTGTCTGAAGCGGTTGGTGAAGGTTTGTTGGACCTTGAGGAGCATCTGGAGCAGATATACTTGGAGCTGCTCCGTGGCTTGTGGTCCTCCAGGGTGAGGTAACGGAGTTGCCGTTCCAAAGCTCTCAACTCCTGCGGTGGACCTGGACATCGGTACTGCTAGAGGACTTGGCACTTCCACATCTCTTAGGGATCTCAGCTCGAGTGAAACCTACTTCACCCTCCTTGTGGTTGATAACAGATGACCCTGATCCGGACAGGGGTCTCCTGGATGCCTGCAAGCTCAAGGTCCTCAGTCTCAACTCCCACGACACGGGCAAGTGCCGAAAGGGCATAGGCAAAGCAGACTTGCTTACAAATTTCACAACGCCTGTGCACTTTTTTTGTTGCAAAGTCTGCTATTGTCATCTATATTGTTGAAACATAACACAGGGAAAGATTATAATCAGATTATATCACTAGGCCTACATTTTTTACATTAACATCAATTAATTTGCAAGAATACTATCATTGTGACGCGTACTGAGTATACGAAGAGGCAGGACGCAGGCGCAGGAATTAACAAGGTCAAGGTTTACTTAACAATGACAAAGAGAAATAACAAAGATAGAGTAAACGATACGAAGCTAAACAATCACACACAACATCATACAGAACAGTCCACGGCTAAATAAAGGTGGTGACGAGATGATGAGGTGCAGGTGCGCTGGAGGTGATTAGGGTGCGTTGGGTTTCCATTCCGGTGTTGCCGAGGTGGTGCGCTCAGACCGGTGGCTCAGTAGACCGGCGAATCATATAACTAAGCTCTGTGATTTCTTTCTGTTGAGCCTTCATGTCCAATCTATTTCCTCTATATCTGTGTTTTATAGTTAGCAACGTACGCTATCATGCATGAACGGTGTTAAATCTTCCATGAAAAACACAATAACACCCAGTGAGCACCGTCCAACGCCAACGTCCATGGATCTTGAAATTTGGTCCGTCTGCCTGGCCTTAATTTCAATGTCCACAGAAGTCGTTTTCTGGTCCCCTCCGGACCACCTTATAGACGTCTATGTTTGGTTCAGATTTGGTCCGGTCCGGACCAGCCTTGATTTCAACGTCCACGGTGTCACGGATTCTGCCAAGACTGCTCCTCCTCCTGGTTCGGGCAGGCTTCGGCGTTCGCCGTCCCCGGAGTACTAGCTGCCACCACTCTATGTTTCGTAGTGTGATTGCTTTTGTCTGTCTTTTACACCTGTGTCCATTTGTGTGTTCATTACTTGTCTTATAAGTTCCTTGTTTTGCTTTAGTCTGATTGTGTGTTGTTATTTTCTGCCTGTCGTGCAGAGCTGCGTGTTTGCACTCTGTCTTTGTTTGGGATTATTGTTTACGCGTGTTTGCGTAATTGCCTCGCCTCCGTCTGTTTTCGAGGTCGTGTTTTGTTTGTTGCTCTTTGGACTATTAAAGTCTTGTGGACGTATCCTCTGTGTCCTGCGCCTGACTCCTCCACCACATCCACATCGGAACTACTGACAGAACAACACACCTAACTATGGAGTCAGCAGGAACAGCGGCGGCACCCGAATCCCTGGAGGACCGGATCAGCTACCAAGACCCCATGATCCGGCAACTTGGGGCCGCCATGGACGAGGTGTCCAACACTCTGCGCCGGTTGGTGACTCGAGAGGTGCCCACGCACTCTTATACCATCCCATCACCAACGGCCAGTCCTCCTCTCTCAGCACCGGAACCCAGTGGCATTCGGCTCTCGCTCCCGAGGGCATATGACGGTTCTGCAGCCGGGTGTCAGGGATTCCTCCTGCAGGTGGAACTCTACCTGGCCACAATACACACGGCGCCCTCGGGATACGAGAGCGTCTCCGCCCTCATCTCCTGTCTATCCGGCAAGGCGTTGGAGTGGGCCAACGCCGAATGGAGGGGAATAGACGCCGCTACCATCACCTACGCGGAGTTCTCCCGCCGCTTCAGGGCTGTCTTCGATCATCCACCTGAGGGGAAAGCGGCGGGAGAGCTTCTGTTCCACCTCCGACAGGGGAAGAGGAGCGCACAGGAGTTCGCACTGGAGTTCCGGACGCTAGCGGCGGATGCGGGGTGGAATGAGAGGGCCCTCATCGACCACTACCGGTGTAGCCTACGAGAGGACGTTCGTCGTGAGCTGGCCTGCAGGGACACCAACCTGTCGTTCGACCAGTTGGTGAACATTTCCATCCGTCTAGACACCCTGCTGGCTACCCGCGGACGTCCCGAGTGGGGGTCGTCCATTCCACCCTCCAGCACCTCCGAGCCGATTCCCATGGAGCTCGGGGGTGCTGGCGCTAGAGAGAGGAGGAGAGAGAACCCGAGGGGGGCCATCCCCTGCACCAACTGTGGTCGTGGAGGACACACCGCGGCCAGGTGCTGGGGAGGGTCTCCTGGGAGAGGGGACAACAGGTCACGCACTGGGGAGTCATTTCAGGTGAGTAGGCGCCCCACTTACCCAGAGCTTTCTGTTGGTCACATGAGTATTCCTGTGAGATTTCCACAGGTGGCACCTCATTCCCAGCATAAGGCGCTAGTAGATTCAGGCGCAGCTGGGAACTTTATTGATCGGGCATTTTGTTGTAGGTTAGGAATTCCCCTTCGGCCGGTAGAAGCTCCATTTCCTGTCCACGCCTTAGACAGCCGGCTGTTGGGGTCGGGCCTGATCAGGGAGGTCACAGCACCACTGACGATGACGACGCAGGGGGGTCATGAGGAGATCATTCAGTTTTATCTGATTGACTCTCCTGCGTACCCCGTGGTGTTGGGGCTTCCCTGGTTAAGCACCCATGATCCTACCATTGCGTGGCAACAGAGGGCTCTTATGGAGTGGTCTGCCCAGTGTGTAGGGAGATGTCTAGGTGTTTCCGTAGGGGCGACCTCGGTAGAGAGTCCGAACCAAGTGCCCGCACTGCGCATTCCCCCTGAGTATGAGGACTTAGCACTTGTGTTCAGCAAATCGAGGGCAACACGGCTACCTCCTCATAGACAGGGGGACTGTGCGATAAATCTCCAAACAGGAGCGGCTCTTCCACGGAGTCGTGTGTATCCCCTGTCTCAAGAGGAGACAGCGGTTATGGAGACTTACATAGCCGAGTCCTTGGCACAGGGATACATACGGTCCTCCACTTCCCCGGTTTCCTCGAGTTTCTTCTTTGTGAAGAAGAAGGACGGGGGATTGCGCCCGTGTATTGATTACCGTAGTCTCAATCAGATCACAGTTAAGTACAGTTACCCACTTCCACTGATTGCGACTATGACGGAATCGTTACGCGGAGCGCAGTTCTTCACAAAGTTGGATCTCAGGAGCGCGTACAATCTGGTGCGCATTAGGGAGGGAGATGAATGGAAAACAGCATTTAGCACCACCTCGGGTCATTACGAGTATCTCGTCATGCCATACGGGTTAATGAATGCTCCTTCAGTCTTCCAATCCTTTGTTGACGAGATTTTCCGGGACATGCATGGGCAGGGTGTAGTAGTGTACATCGACGACATCCTAGTGTACTCTTCTACACGAGCCGAGCATGTAGCCCTGGTGCGCCGAGTGTTGAGAAGACTGTTGGAACATGACTTGTATGTCAAGGCAGAGAAATGCCTGTTCTTCCAGGAGTCCGTCTCCTTTTTGGGTTATCGGTTGTCCGCGTCTGGTGTGGAGATAGAGGTAGACCGTGTATCGGCCGTGCGTAATTGGCAAACTCCAACCACTGTAAAAGAGGTGCAGCAGTTCTTGGGTTTTGCTAATTATTACCGGAGGTTTATTCGGGGTTTTGGACAAGTTGCAGCTCCCATTACGTCCCTGCTAAAGGGGGGTCCGGTTCGTTTGCAGTGGTCGGCTGAGGCGGACAGGGCATTTGTCAAACTGAAGAACCTGTTCACCTCGGCCCCGGTGCTGGCGCATCCGGATCCCTCTTTACCATTCCAAGTAGAGGTAGACGCGTCCGAGACCGGTATTGGGGCAGTCCTGTCACAACGGTCCGGCACGCCACCTAAACTCCGCCCCTGTGCGTTCTACTCCAAGAAGCTCAGCTCGGCGGAGCGCAACTATGACGTTGGGGACAGGGAGCTGTTAGCCGTAGTCCAGGCCCTTAAGGTGTGGAGGCATTGGCTTGAGGGGGCTCAACACCCTTTCCTCATTCTGACTGATCACCGTAACCTGGAGTACATCCGGGCAGCTAGGAGATTGAACCCTCGTCAGGCTAGGTGGAACATGTTCCTAACCTGGTTTGTTTTTAAGATCACATACATCCCAGGGTCCCAGAATGGTAAGGCAGACGCCCTGTCCCGGCGGTATGACACAGAGGAGAGGTCCAACGAGCCTACTTCCATACTGCCGGAGTCTTGTTTGGTGGCTCCGGTGGTATGGGAGGTCGATGCGGAAATCGAGCGGGCACTGCGTACCGACCCTACTCCCCCCGAGTGTCCTGTGGGGAGGACGTACGTTCCGCTCGAGGTTCGTGATCGTCTTATTTATTGGGCTCATACATCACCCTCCTCTGGGCATCCAGGTATTGGCCGGACCGTGCACTGTCTTAGCATGAAATACTGGTGGCCAACGTTAGCTAAGGATGTGAGGGTTTATGTCTCCTCCTGCTCGGTGTGTGCCCAGTGTAAGGCGCCTAGACATTTGCCCAGGGGTAAGTTACATCCCCTGCCCGTTCCACAACGACCATGGTCCCACCTATCGGTGGATTTTGTAACCGACCTACCCCCCTCCCAGGGGAATACCACCATTTTGGTCGTTGTGGATCGGTTTTCCAAGGCCTGTCGTCTCCTTCCAATGCCGGGTCTCCCTACTGCCCTACAAACCGCTGAGGCCCTATTTACCCATGTGTTCCGGCACTATGGGGTCCCCGAGGATATTGTGTCTGACCGACGTCCCCAGTTCACCTCCAGAGTTTGGGGGGCGTTCATGGAACGATTGGGGGTCTCGGTAAGCCTTACCTCGGGGTACCACCCAGAGAGCAATGGGCAGGTGGAACGTGTCAACCAGGATGTGGGTAGGTTTTTGAGGTCCTATTGCCGGGACCGGCCGGAGGAGTGGTCTAGGTTCATCCCCTGGGCAGAGATGGCCCAGAACTCTCTCCGCCACTCCTCCACCAATTTAACACCTTTCCAGTGTGTTTTAGGTTATCAGCCGGTCCTGGCACCATGGCACGAGAGCCAGATCGAGGCCCCTGCGGTGGACGAGTGGATTCGGCACTCGGAGGAGACGTGGGACGCTGCCCATGTCCATCTGTAAGGTGCCATCCGTCAACAAAAGGCGAGCGCCGATCGCCACCGCAGTGAGGGACCGGTGTACGCACCGGGAGATCGAGTCTGGTTCTCGACTCGAAACCTGCCCCTCCGCCTGCCCTGCCGGAAGCTGGGTCGGCGGTTTGTGGGGCCCTTCAAAGTCCTGAGAAGATTGAACGAGGTGTGTTACAGGTTACAACTGCCTATAGAGTACAAAAATATTAACCCCTCGTTCCATGTGTCTCTTCTCAGGCCGGTGGTAGCTGGCCCACTCCAAGAAGATGAGATAGGAGAGACCCCTCCGCCCCCTTTGGACATCGAGGGGGCCCCGGCGTACAGGGTCCGGACCATCTCGGACTCGAAGGCGCCGGATGAGTGGTCTCCAGTATCTCGTGGAGTGGGAGGGGTACGGTCCGGAGGAACGGTGCTGGGTGCCCAGGAGGGACATCCTCGATCCATCCCTCCTGACTGAGTTCCACCGTGGGCATCCCACGCGCCCGGGTCCGCGTCCTCCTGGCCGTCCCCGAGGCCGGGGTCGGCGCACGGCTGGAGCCGCGCGTCAAGGGGGGGGTACTGTCACGGATTCTGCCGAGACTGCTCCTCCTCCTGGTTCGGGCAGGCTTCGGCGTTCGCCGTCCCCGGAGTACTAGCTGCCACCGCTCTATGTTTCGTAGTGTGATTGCTTTTGTCTTTTACACCTGTGTCCATTTGTGTGTTGATTACTTGTCTTATAAGTTCCTTGTTTTGCTTTAGTCTGATTGTGTGTTGTTATTTTCTGCCTGTCGTGCAGAGCTGCGTGTTTGCACTCTGTCTTTGTTTGGGATTATTGTTTACGCGTGTTTGCGTAATTGCCTCGCCTCCGTCTGTTTTCGAGGTCGTGTTTTGTTTGTTGCTCTTTGGACTATTAAAGTCTTTTGGACGTATCCTCTGTGTCCTGCGCCTGACTCCTCCACCACATCCACATCGGAACTACTGACACACGGACGTCTGTACCTGCCTCGATTTGGCCCCAAAATAGATGTTTTTGATTGATTCAGATTTGATCCGGTCCGGACTGTCTGTCTATCTCCATACTTTCAGTGATGTCAAAGACATCTTATTTTCAATACTCATATTTTTGTATTGCATGACATCACATCAACATGCAAAACCAAGGCATACGTATTTGTATTTTTTTATTTGATTTAGTCCTATTCTTTATCTTTGATTATTGGTCCATTGCACAATATGTTGACAAATTACGTTGAAACAACGTTGATTTAACCAATTTGTGCCCAGTGGGATGACTCCTTTCTATGCGCACTAAAATTATATGATCTGTTTCTCTGAATTGCCTAACACTGTAAGATCGTATTTTGTATCTTAGCTTCTAGCCATGTTGGCAATAGAACAAGCTTTCAAATGATGCTCACCTGACCCAGATTGCGATTTATAATGCTAGGAGAGCTAAGAAATGCACCTTATAGTTGAAGACTCTTCTTTGAGTCATAAAAGTGCATTGAATGAGGTGTGGCCACTTGGAGACACCAGTTAGTCCTTTCACTCAAACCCTTGTAATTATTTTGTCTTATGTTGCACCTACCATACATTTTCCAGGAATACTTTTATCATGTTACTGAACGTATCCAGAGTATTTTCAGATTTCGTTATCAACAAATGCGGCGAAAAGTATAGGAAATGTAAAATGCACATAAAATTAACAGTGTAATGTTTGGATTCAGTCTTGTGTCAGGTGAACTGTTGTGTCCTCAACTTTGGTCTAATAATTTCCCCATAATCTCAAACTTTTCCTTGCTACCATGCTTATGCATTTCATATTTCTTCTGTAATAAACATTTCAATTTTGCTATCCATATAGGCCAATTCCCACGGGTGTAAAGGGTTAAGCAGCTTTAGCTTTGATTACCCAATCGTGAATATGGTACATTGTAGAGAAGCCTGGAAACAATTGGTCCTCTGTAGCTCAGCTGGTAGAGCACGGCGCTTGTAACGCCAAGGTAGTGGGTTCGATCCCCGGGACCACCCATACACAAAAAAAATTATAATATGTATGCACGCATGACTGTAAGTCGCTTTGGATAAAAGCGTCTGCTAAATGGCATATTATTATTATTAATTAGCATTCTGTATACTTGTTCATGAGCAAACTTGCAATAACAAATTAATAATTGTAAAGTTTTGTAGCTAGCTAGGTCACATTGGAGAGGTCCGATAAGCAGATGCATATCATAACTTGACAGCATGTGTGTGTGATTCGTTGTTGTTATACTATTTCAGACTGAGATAGAGTGCCTCCACACCCACTCTCCAGCGCCATCACCAGTCTGAGAGTAAGGATGACTCAGCACTCAACTCTTCCATGAGGACAGGCAGAGAGGCCACACGGTCGTCCCCAGCCCCCCTGCCTCACCAGCAGCCTGCCTTGGCCCATCCAACGCTCTTCCACACCTCAACCCCAGCCCAAGGCTAAGCCCCAGGCTCAGAGGTCTAAAACCCCCCTGGTCTTCCATAGGCTCCTTGGGCAGAAATCCTCCGTGCCCCAGCCCCAGCCCAGACTGGAAAACAGGCTTACTCAAACCTGGACCTAGTCTCAGTTTGCCTCTAAGCTCAGGTAGAGCTCCACATTGGGCGGCAAAAGCACAGAATCCCCAACCAGTTCTGCCCCCAGATGCATGGAAGACCCAACACGGCAAGGGCCGCTACACCCGTCAGAGGCTACAGCCTGCCAGATGTACCCCTGTCGGACCCAGACAACCCACCATCACTATCCAGCAGCCTGAAGAAAGTGATACTCCTCAAAAGAGCTCAGATATAATTTGCACATTCTGTCCAGTCAAAAGGTGCTGTGAACAATCCTCTGGGGAACCCCGAGTCAGGCCCTTCACACCCATTGGGGGAAACTTGAGGAGGGAACAAAATAAGAAACCCACCCCTTATGACATCGCAACCAACTCTTCACACAGCTCTATAAACGCTGACTCCAACCACAAGAAAATACAGGACCTGACGAGACAGAATGCATTTGGCTTTCCTGTCAAGGCTTCTCACAAAACCACTGAGGTAAACATTGAAGAGCAAAATCTTTAGGGCAGGAGACCCTCTCCCAAGTGGTGCAGTGGTCTAAGGCTCTGCATCGCAGTGCTAGCTGTGCCACTAGAGATCCTGGTTCGAATTCAGGCTCTGTCGTAGCCGGCCGCGACTGGGAGACCCACAGGGCGGAGCACAATTGGCCCAGCGTCGTCCAGGGTAGGGGAGGGAATGGCCGGCAGGGATGTAGCTCAGTTGGTAGAGCATGGCGTTTGCAACGCCAGGGTTGTGGGTTTGATTCCCACGGGGGGCCAGTATGAAAAATAATTATGTATGCACTCACTAACTGTACGTCGCTCTGGATATGAGTGTCTGCTAAATGACTAAAATGTAAAAATGAGACGGAGCGATAGACAGTGTTTACCTCTTCACCCCTCCCCCATCAGCCCAGCCCAGGAGGCCAGTCTGTACCAGTGTCTGGAGCACGAGATCCTGCCCAACCTCCAGCAGCTCAGCTCAGCGTCGACTCAGACTACATCTACAGCCTCCCAGACGACAGCGAGGAAAATGGTCAATACGAACCTACTCAGAATGTCCCTGAGAGTGACCATGGTGGATTCGCTACTGTTCCAGCTGGGTCCGAACCATCTCCACATACCTCAGCCTCTAATGCCACACATCCAGGTGAGGCCAGCTTCAATGCAGTCATCGCTGAGCTCTCCAAAGGGAAGAGGCTGCTGGAGAAGGTGTTTGTGGAGAGCTGGGTGAACACACACTCTGGCAGCCCTAGAGCTAGTAGAGAGACTGCAGCAGCACAGAGGTGGTGGACTCAAACTTAAACCTCGAAGTGGCAAAAGCCTGTTTGACCAGCTCCTGGTCCTCTCTGGGAATGGAGTTAGCATTAGCAGCAGGTGCAGGCGCAGGGTGACAGAAGCCACTTCACCTGCAGTGAACCCCAGAGCCACTACCGCAACAGGCTCAGATAGCCTGTTGAAACCAAGGAAAGGGTATTTCAGGCAGAAGAGGACCTTGAAGAAACCAGAGAGGGTGCCCTCCATCTATAAGCTGAAGCTTCGGCCCAGAGTCCATCCCAGGCACGACTATAGACCAGGCAGGAAGCCCATGCGGATCCCCACCCAATCTCCTACAGAGGGTATCAACCCGCAGAGGAGCCTGGAGGGTCCAGAAGGGACATACACATAGACAAGCATCACACACACACACACACACACACGCCTCAAAGCTGAATTGATGCATCAGACCACACAGAGTAGTGGTGAAAGATTATCAGCATTCAGTGCAGCATTCACCTCACACAAATATAAATGTTTTCAACTATAATGCTCAGTTTCAGTTCTATTTTTGTTTTACTTATTTTGTGTGCACTGCACTCCAATTGTGTGATAAAAATATTTTAACCCAAAACATAACACTATTTCTTTAATGCTCTGGTAATCATATTTGCCTTTATTCCAAAAGAAAATAGCAATTTTCCCCCACCATTCTCCTCTATTCTCCGAAAGCTGAATGTATTAAATTCCCTGTGATTTTATATGTAAGGGAAATCTATTTGGAGGTCAATTTCTCCTTCCCAGTAGCTCACGGCTACTTTCCAAATGCACTTTTTAAATGCTGAACCAGGCCGAGAGTAATACACACACACACAAACACAAACACAGAGGCAGCAGGCAGACACAGTCGGGCGTCTCACAGCTGCTTCCAAGTTACTCCAGGATCCGTTCTACCAGAGCACAGAAGATAAGCAGACAATCTCACCGAGACCCACAGACCCAGTATTGAGGCACGGCTGAATTTCAGAGCCATTGTATTGATACAAGGCTGCATACACACATCCACTCACATTCTCAAAAACACAGATAGACAACACCCTCGCACACAGTCACGCAGCATGAGATGGGATACCTTTGGTGGCTGAAGCCACAAACTCTTTTGCTGATGTATTTTTTATGCAAAATTTTAAAGTTTCAGATTCATGATTTATGTGTGTCTTAAGAGCTGATTCACAGATAATGAACTTTGAATAGATTTTTGAAAACATAATTGTTTTTGATCAACATTCAAGGCATTATTTTTTAATTCACCTCTGCCTCCCAGGAGTGACCCTCTCATTAAACAGTTCTGCGGGTCGCTACTTTAGCATCCTCTGATTGCTCCATTTCACCTCAGATGCTGTCCTAGTCACCTTGTGCGTATTGAGTTTCGTGGCTGCAGACTTATAAATAACCCTCTGGCAAAATGCTGCTATTAATATCCCTCGTCAGAGCTGCAGCCCGTCACACTACAGCAGCTGTGCTTGTTCCCCATCCGCTCGCTCTCGCGTCACGCTCCTCGTCTCTCAGACTCGACTAGGAATACTCCTTCAATTACTGCCACTGTATGTGGGGCCGGCCAACGAGACACACACATACTGGAATGAACTGTTCTAGGGAAGCACAATACACACTGGGACATACCAGGGATCAGCATCCAGTAGCCTTGAACTCAAATTCAGTCGTTTTTTCAGCAACTTCAATTCTCAAAACAGGCACGTATTGAGTTTGTTGAACAATTGATTAGTTTGAATACAGCATTAAAACATCTTCTAATTCACAACTAGTGGTTATTTCCTTATGAGGCCCCCAGGTTCAATATACCCCTCCAGTAGATCACAATACCGATATTTTAGACACCTCCTCACAATACTAGGATAATGGTTCTCATGAGAAGGGGCATTTATTGAGACCTTGGGAAAATCACCAGGTATCCTGTAAATAAAACGTTTTATTGGAATGTGTAATGATGTAGTACCCTGGTAAGAGATGATACAGGTATATGGCTGAGGCAGTGGAGGAGGGAAAAGTATCTAAGTCAATATGACCTGTGGAGTAAAGGGCTATCATTCAAGGCAGTGGTCTTTATGAGACTCGGAGAGTCGGTCGAGTTTCTATAGCATATATTATAGACCAGACAGACCTACCTGTGGAGTATCAAATGATGATGACATAATCATGAAACAGACCAGCGAATAGGACGTCTGAGCACTTCGTAATTATAGCTTCACATCAACACAGCCCTATTTCACATTCATCTTCGTAATCATACACAGTCAGGTAGCTCATCAGCATACAGTATATAAAGTAATTTTTTATTCAGGAAGATGCTCGTTAAAATCACAGGACACGACAGTAGTTCAGTGCTGTTCTGATTTCAAGGGCTATTACAGACATTTGTGGCTCTCCTTATGCAATGTGATTGGCCAGAAACAGATTAAATACTTCTGCCACCTGCAACTGGCAGTTTATTGTCAATATCATGAAGGAATCGCCATCTTCTTATAGTATTACACAAATCTTGTTCCACTCAAATGCACTCTGTCTTATACACAAGAGGTTCTAGTCAGGTAGGCTAGTATCTGCATTGTATTCTTTATAACAGTATTCTCCTTTCATTGAATACAAACTTTTAGCAACAAGTTCATCCTTTATTTCCCCCTTATTCCAAAACAAATTCTAGCTTACTGTTTTACCGAAGGTTACCAGGATTCAAGCAGGGCATGTTTATTTATTGCTGTATTTAGCAGTTAAGACCCTGAACAGGCCGATATGTTGGCAACAACTGTCTAGCCTCAAGTATTTTATTACATTTAGACCTCTTCTTTTTACAATATCTCATTATTAACAGGCTGATACCAGGGGTTTGGTTTTAGTTGCGTTTGTAGGTATAAAGTGCCTTGCAAAAGTATTGACTGGATTTCTTCACATTTTATTGTGTTACAAAGTGGCATTAAAATTGATTTAATTGTCATTTCTTGTCAACAATCTACACAAAATACTCTGTAAAAATTATTTATAGTATTCAGCTCCCTGATTCAATACATGTCAGAAACACCTTTGGCATCGATTACAGCTGTGAGTCTTCTTGGGTAAGTCTATAAGAGCTTTGCACACCTGGATTGTGCAATATTTGCCCATTATTCTTTTCAAAATGTTGCCATAAATTTACAAGCAGATTTAGGGCTCTATTCAATCAGATACGCTTTAGCCAACATCCACATAGCGGTTGTTTTGACGGTGTTGGTGGTGGAACTGTGTTAGAGCTGGCTCTGCATTATACCTAAAGCGGACATTGCCATTGGCTGCATGGAGTGGCACTCTCAGAAATCCCATGCAGCCTTGTTTACAAGTTCGAACACTGGTATGTCTACACCTCGATTAGGATGATAGAAATCCTCAGTATTTTGTTTAATGATTTTTCAATTTTAGTGTAATTATTTCTATATAGCCTACACTTTCTCGGCGGATGTGTCTTCAGTGACAATGATTGCAAGAGCAGCTACTCACGGATTTGAAGGCTCCAATGTAGTTCCACCTCTGACACCGCCAAAACATCCGCTATGCAGGTGTCTGCTATCACCGGTTAATGCTTGATCTGATTGAATCTAGGCCCTAAGTCAAAACTGGAACTTGGCCACTCAGGAATATTCACTGTCTTCTTGGTAAGCAACTCCAGTGTAGATTTGGCCCTGTGTTATAGGTTATTGTCCCACTGAAAGGTGAATTCCTCTCCCAGTGTCTGGTGTAAAGCAGACTGAAGCAGGTTTTATTTTTGTTGTTGTAATTTTTACCCCCTTTTTCTCCCCAATTTCGTGATTACGATCTTGTCTCATCGCTGCAACTCCCCAACGGGCTCGGGAGAGGCAAAGGTCGAGTCATGCATCCTCTGAAACATGACCCGCCCGCTTAACCCAGAAGCCAGCTGCACCAATGTGTCGGAGGAAACACCGTTCAACTGACGACCAAAGTCAGCCTGCAGGCGCCTGGCCCGCCACAAGGAGTCGCTAAGAGCACTATGAGCCAAGTAAAGCCCCCCCGGCCAAACCCTCCCCTAACCCGGACGACACTGGGCCAATTGTGCGCCGACCTATGGGACTCCCGGTCATGGCCTGTTGTGACACAGCCTGGGATCGAACCCCAGGCTGTAGTGACGCCGCAACACTGCGATGCTGCGCCACTCGGGAGGCCCTGAAGCAGGTTTTCATCTACGATTTTGCCTGTGCACACACCTCATCCTGTTTCTTTTTATCATGAAAAACTCCTGAGTATTTGCCGATGTTAAGCATACCCATACCCTGATGCAGCCACCACCATGCTTGAAAATAAGGAGGGAGTTACTCAGTTATGTGTTGTGATGGATTTGCCCTAAGCATAAGTTTTGCATTTAGGCCAAAAAGTGTATTCCTTTCCTGTGTTTTTTTGCAGTATTACTTTATTGCCTTGTTGCATACAAGATGCATGTTTTCTGTATATTTCTATTATTCTTTTCACTGTCATTTAGGTCAATATTGTTGTTGATCCATCCTCAGTTTTCTCCCATGACAGGCATTGAACTCTGTAGCTGTTTTAAAATCACCAATAGCCTCATGGGGATATCCCTGAGCAGTTTCATTCCTGTCCTGCGGCTCAGTTCAGAAGGATGACTATCTTTGATGTGTCTGGTGGTTTAATACATAATCCACAGCATAATTATTTACTTGACCATGCTTAAAGAGATATTCAATGTCTGATTTGTTATTGTTACCCATCTACCAATCACTGCCCTGCTTTATGAGGTGTTTGAAAAGCTACCTGGTCCTTGTAGTTGAATCTGTGCTTGAAATTCAATTTTTGACTGAGGGACCTTACAGATGTTGTATACATGGAGGACAGAGGAAGGATTAGTCATTCAAAAATCATGGCAACCCCTATTATTTCACACAGAGTGAGTCCATGTAACTTTTTATGTGATTTGTTAAGCCAAATGTTACTCCTTAACTAATTTAGGCTTGCCTAAACAAAGGGGCTGAATACTTATGCAATGACTATATTTTAGTTATACATTTATCTTCTTCCACTTTTACAGAGTATGTTGTGTAGATTGTTGACAAAATATGACAATTAAATCAATTTTAATACCACTTAATACAACTTTATATACAGTACATCCAGTGCCTTGCAAAAGTATTTTGTCACATTATTTTGTTTTAAAAACCCTTATCATGAGCATCTACAATTATAGATTTATGATGTACAAGGTTGTGTTTGCGGTTGGAGTGTAAAGGTGGACTGGATTGGGTGATATTACTCCAAATAACAGAATGTCACCATCCACTTTGAAATTCACTAGGCTTGCTTAAACCTTCACCAAGGACTAGAAACCCTGCGGTAAAAAGGGATGTGTCCTCAGTAAATGAAACAGACAATTCTCTGGTAAGGACTGTCAGTGTTTTGTAAGCTACTAGACGGTTAAACACTGTGTGGGACACTGTGTCTCTATGGTTGTTTGTTTTGGTTTCAGAAGGTGTGAAGGAGAGGGTCTTTTGCGATTGGCTTAAATTTTACATTTACATTTACGTCATTTAGCAGACGCTCTTATCCAGAGCGACTTACAAATTGGTGCATTCAACTTATAAATTGAATGACAGTTGGATTTTTTTGTTTGTGCTTGTTTTGTTTCAGCGCTTGTGTATGGAATTCGTAATGCTACCTTGGGGGATTTTACACTCAAGTGTAAAACCTTCAAGACATATCAGAGCAGAGAAAGAGAATGCACCGAGCCCAGGAACGGAAGGATCCATCTGCCTGCCCCCGCATCAGCAGATGCCAGCCTCAATCCCACTCCAAAGGTGGCTTTGACATTAGCAATGTCACACATTGATCAACGCCCAGGTTAGTCAAACAACATAAGCCAATCTGTCTGTCGGGAGCGACTACCAGATGCTGGAAAGTTTCTTTAGTGCACTTGGATAAGTTCAGAATTGTATAGCCAGGTTGGTTTTGTATAGCCAGGTTTGGTTGGTTTAGCTGCCTCCAAGTCAAGAAAATATCAAAGATACTTTACAAAGATGGATAGGGTGGTACTCTCCATCTGATCAAGTAAGTCATATATCAACAGCAAAACAGAGCGGTGTTACATGTTAATACTGTAGTTTCACATGGGGCAGAAACGTGGTCAGTCATGGTAGTCAGTCACAGTGATCCATCAATACTTCTCAGGTGTTCCTAGGGAAGTTTACTGTACCAATGGCCCTCAATGCCACTCCGGTGCCCACCCACCGTCACTGAGTAAATCACATGAGGGCACAGCGTTCGTTCCTCAGTGCCCGTTGGAAGCGAATGGTGGCATGGGCGTGTTTGCAGCGGGCACAGACCACACTGCGCATAGCCTCCCCGAATAGCAGCAGCACGTGCCAGTTGTACTTGGCCGAACACTCCATGTAGCCGCACTTCCAGTTCTTCCTAACCAGGTCGGACACGTTGTGGCGGGGGATGACACGCCCCCACTGCAGGTCCCGCTTGTTCCCCACAATCAGGATGGGCGTGTCGCCTGTGCCCACCACCCTGGAGAAAGGAAAAGAGAGACAAAAACTGAGAATGAGAGATTAGACATCCTGTCGTCAGCTAAAGCCAGGCACACACACTGGTTCCTTTTCTGTGGTCATTTAAACAGAAACACAGCATAACATAAAATCAAGGCTTAGCTATGACTGACACAGGTTTGTACCCCAAGATTTTAACCTTCACACCCAGTCAAGAGAAATCTAAGAAAAATATTCTGAGGGGTTTTTATGCTGTTATAGTTGATGCTATTAAAGCAGAGTTATCAAATCCCCTGCCCTGTCAACCCTGGCCAAAATTGACTCTTCGTAGGGAGAGGATAAAGGGCTGTTTCTGTTTGGACATATTCATGGCCAAAACCCAGACATTTTCAAGAAGGGCTTTTCTTAACTCTGCAAATGTACTAATGGAAGTACACCTTGACAGAAACCTTGAGTTATAGTCGAGGGAAGGTTTAAAATCCCACAGATACCCCTCTCAAAGTAATATGCTGGTAGCTCCTACAGCGCAAGTTTGAAACCTTGGGTTTCTGAGGTGAGTGTTCATTGTGTGCGTGTGTTCTCTAGTCTCTGTTGTTGCTGACTGTAATGCCCCCTCTCTCCTTCACTGCTCCACTGGGCTTGGCTCATGCATTTGTTCTGTCTACAGCGCCTGGCTTTGTCTGGAATCTTACTGACAAGCTGTCACCGGCCTCTCCCTGCTATCCTGGGGCTCCTCGTCAGATAAATGTGAGTAAGACCCAGGGTGTCACTCTCCTCTCCCCATCCCCAGGTCTCTGCGTTGAGATTTTGTCTCTTCCGTATGATGATTGCTCTTGTGATAGTTCCCTATTTTCTAGGAAATAAATCACTTTTCCTCAGCTGTCAGTTCCTTAAAAGCAAAAGGCACAATTGTAACAGTATGAACAATGTGAGGGTGTGGCACAACAATATGTGCAAAGGACAATGGAGGGCGATAGTCCACTCTGCTTCTCATATTGATTTCAAAAGAATGTAGCCTACTGCTCCAAACGTTGATTTTACAAGCATGTACTGCTAAAACCTTTAGCACGGAAATCGAACAAATCAAATGATTTGTGTGTAATAATAATAACTGGGCGAGCCCACGCCATAAATGGATGACTGGGAGATGAATGGCTGTGACAGGAGCTGTCACTAACACCATTAGCCTCTGTGTAGCCTTGGCAACGTGGCACTGTCAGAGTGGGTGCTGACTGAAGGCCTCATGCTCACACACCATGTGACAGCAGCCAACAAGGCTGATGGGACAACTACACCTCACATCCATCACTGCTGCCAATGACAGGTAACCATCACCCTGCCCCTAAGGATTTTTAAGCCTTGAGACAATTGAGACATGTATTGTGTATGTGTGCCATTCAGATGGTGAATGGGCAAGACTAGGCGCACTGGTTTGAGTGTGTCAAGAACTGCAACGATGCTGGCTCAACAGTTTCCCATGTGTATCAAGAATGGTCCACCACCTAAAGAACATCCAGCCAACTTGACACAACTGTGGGAAGCATTGGAGTCAACATTGGCCAGCATCCTTGTGGAATGCTTTCGACACCTTGTAGAGTCCATGCCCCGAAGAATTGAGGCTGTTATGAGGGCAACAGGGGGTGCAACTCAATATTAGGAAAGTGTTCCTAATAAGTAAGTAAGTAAGTAAGTAAGTACATTGCAGAAAAATTGCACTTCAAAAGATATCTAACAGTACAAGCACATGTGCCTTAAGAGATGCAGCCTACCAGCAGTCAGTATTGTCCCTGGCCCATTAGCAGATTTGGAGAGGATATTAAACACCCCATCTTTCCCTCTGCGTGCATGCGTGCAAGACGTGAGACGTGCGAGAAAGGTTGATGGTGAGAAGCTGACATGTGTTTGCACTAAGGTCATCGGCTGCCTCACAACGACAAGTCAAGTGTTTGCAAGCTGACTGTTGAAGCAGTCTAATGGCTCTCAGAATAAATCTCAGCTCCACTGACAGACACCCATGTATCACACGTCTGCCCCTCCAAACGTCACTTCATGTCACTATCCCACACTGACATCACTCTAAGACAAACACCAGCCTTGTTTCCCAACCTTATTATTAGGACACGCAGTCTCTCTGATTAAAGCTATCTGGGCTCGCAGGAGGGATGGTTTGCACAAATTGCTTTGACTAATTATATGACACAGAATTGGTTTAGCAGCTACCTGGTTTTGGAGAGATTTATTGACCTGAAAAGCAAGCAAGCACTACTGACATGAGATTTGTGGATTAGCAATGAAGGGTTATCAACTTTTTTCAGCAAAGGGCCAAGAGGGGGTGGTTTGTTCAAACATAATCTACTGTTTCTGGATATGTTTCATCCATAGTGAAAATTGACTTGGTAATGGTTCTTTCAGACTGTGACTCAACTGTTTTTTACTATGGTAAAATAACCACTGTGAAAGACTTGTGTTGTAACAAGTAAGTGAGTGTCTGCGGAGTGTCTAGTGTATATTGTGAGTGGGTGTTGCTAAAACTGTTTTCATCACACCACTCCACAATGCCATTCGCTTCCAGCAACATCCAAAATATAATTAATTCAAAAGAAAACACAAAAGAGCAAAAAGACAATAGAGAGATTGTGAAGAGAAGCCAAAGTGATTATGAAGACATTTGACCTTGGCAGTCTGAGCCACTCATGTTGATTTCATTCCAAATGTTAAATAAATGTTGTATGTGCGTGTGGCGGTGGGGGCTCCTAATTGCAGAGCGAGCCGTAATTATGTCTGTTCAAAGAACCAGTGCCAGCTGGAGCTGGTCCCTATTTGTCATGCAGGCCATGTCCTCACCTGGTCTCTAGGATCTGCTGGCGCATAGTCTTGACGTATTCGAAGCTGTCGAAGCAGCAGATGTCATAGACCAGGATGTAGACGTGAGCGCTGCGGATACCTCGGCAGCAGGTGTCTGTCCACTCCTGGAGGAGGGAGGGAAGCGGATAGAAAAGTGAAGAAAGGAGAAGGAAATAGAAAAATAGAGCAGAAGAGACAGGAAAAAAAGAGTAACATTTTAGCAAGAGTAGAAAGGGGAGGACAGGAGGGAGGCGAGAAGACATAGGGAGATCTCTCATTACGAAGCAATAACACAAACGAACCTTCCTTTTGTCTGGTAAAACTCAGATAGCACTGTTTTATAAATGTTTAATTTGGCTGAGTATTTTCTTTTAAATAGATGTATGGAGACCAATATCTTTCACCTATTCTGTACACACTCATGTACGCACACACACACAGCTTTTGTACACTTTTTGCAAATTATGTTAGTCTAGTTCATTTGTTGAAATGACTCGCAACATAGCTTACTGTCTGATCAATATGACCAGAACACAATCTGCTCTCTTATTGAATTCAAACTTTTTGTAATTTCATTTCTGCTTTATAATTGGCTCCTCGCTGTGAGAAATATTGTTTGCAAGCTGGTGCTTGCCTTGCATAGCTTTTCAAAAACACCTCAAGCACCTCTCCAGTGCAAATGAAAACACTGATTCCTTTATAAATCAACCTGGTCTCAGAGCATTTCGTATTACTCTGTATGTAAATCCGTGATGCTCCATTTAGTGTGATATGTTACGTTTCGTATGGTATGTATTAATTTGTGGATGTCCATCACCCATTTCGTATATATTATGAATTACAATTCCTATTATATGTACGAATTTGCAAAACATACAATATGTTACTAATTTTCTAAACATATGATATGTTACGAATTCTATCTATGTGGCTAACGTTAGCTAGCTTGCTAATGTTAGCTAGGTTAGGGGTTAGGGGTTAAGGTTAGGGTTAAGTTTAGGAGTTAGGTTAAAGGGTTAAGGTTAGGGTTAGGGTTAGCTAAAGGGGTTAAGGTTAGGGTTAGGGGAAGGGTTAGCTAACATGCTAAGTAGTTGCAAAGTAGCTCAAAAGTAGTAAGTAGTTGAAAAGTTGCTAATTAGCAAAAATGCTAATGTTGTCCGTGATGAGATTTGTACTCGCAACCTTTGGGTTGCTAGACGTTCGCGTTATATGGCCACCCATCCAACTCGACCAACCACCCTACTTTAGTTTTTGCCTTACATCTGTCTTACAGTATGTCACCATACCAAACGTAACATATCATACTACACTGAACAAAAATATAAACGCAATGTGCAACAATTTCAAAGATTTTATTAAGTTACAGCTCATATAAGGAAATCAGTCAATTGAAATAAATTAATCAGGCCCTAATCTATGGATTTCACATGACTAGGAATACAGATATGCATCTGCTGGTCACAGATACCTTTAAAAAAAAGTAGGGGCATGGATCAGAAAACCAGTCTGTATCTGGTGTGACCACCATTTGCCTCATGCAGTGCAACACATCTCCTTCACATAGAGTTGATCAGGCTGTTGATTGTGGCCTGTGGAATGTTGTCCCACTCCTCCTCGATGGCTGTGCAAAGTTGCTGCATATTGGCGGGAACTGGAACACGCTTTCGTACGAGTCAATCCAGAGCATCCCAAACATGCTCAATGGGTGACATGTCTGGTGAGTATGTAGGCCATGGAAGAACTGGGACATTTTCAGCTTCCAGGACTTGTGTACAGATCCTTGCGACATGGGACCGTGCATTATCATGCTGAAACACGGCCTCAGGATCTCGTCACGGTATATCTGTGTATTTAAATTGCCATCGATAAAATCCAATTGTGTTCGTTGTCCATAGCTTATGTCTGCCCATACCATAACCCCACCAAGGCGCACTCTGTTTGCTCGCCCACACAATGCCATACACGCTGTCTGCCATCTGCCCGGTACAGTTGAAACCGGGATTCAACGGTGAAGAGCACACTTCTCCAACGTGCCAGTGGCCATCGAAGGTGAGCATTTGCCCATGGAAGTCGGTTACGACGCCAAACTGCAGTCAGTTTGTGCAGAAATTCTTTGGTTGTGCAAATCCACAGCTTCATCAGCTGTCCGGGTGGCTAGTCTCAGACGATCCCTCAGGTGAAGAAGCCGGATGTGGAGGTCCTGGGCTGGCGTAGTTACACGTGGTCTGCGGTTGTGAAGCAGGTTGGACGTACTGCCACATTCTCTAAAATGACGTTGGAGGCGGCTTATGGTAGAAAAATGTACATTCAATTCTCTGGCAACAGCTCTGGTGGACATTCCTGCAATCAGCATGCCAATTACACACTCCCTCAAAACTTGAGGCATCTGTGGCATTGTGTTGTGTGACAAAACTGCACATTGTAGAGTGGCCTTTTATTGTCCCCAGCACAAGGTGCACCTGTGTAATGATAATCAGCTTCTTGATATGCCACACCTGTCAGGTGGATGGATTATTTTGGCAAAGGAGAAAGGCTCACTAACAGGTAAACAAATATGTGCTCAACATTTGAGAGAAATTAGCTTTTTGTGCGTATGGAACATTTCTAGGATCTTTTATTTCAGTTCATGAAACATGGGACCAACACTTTACATGTTGCGTTTATATTTTTGTTCGGAGTAAATGGAGTGTATGTACAGAATAATACGAAATACTCTGAGACCAGGTTGTATAAATGATCAATAGAGTGTGAAATTTGAGGTGATTGAAGTTATAACCCAAACTGTGGTTCTCTTTCAATTATTCGTTTCAATATCTCACAGTGGGATTCACCAGAATCTCTAAGTAGCTCGAGGAACCAATCATACACGTCTGTCTGACGCAGTGGCAAATAAGGGAGCCCTTCCCCTAATACTAAAGAGCCACTCGTCCGCCCTCTGATCATTCTCACCTCTCTTCCTCACAGAAGAGTTCTACTCTAGCTAGCTCTCCTCAGCACGACTTGATCGGTTTTTCTGTTTAAATGTTCACAGGTGTGCCGCTGAGGTTACGCCACCGAGCACAGGTTTTTCAGCTCTCCTCTTCTGTGTTGGGTGACTTTACCGAAAGGAAAGTTTTCACTTCGGGTAACAATTAGCTTCGTTGCTTTTTCTTCCTTTGTCTCCTTCGGTAGCTAGCATCACACTGCTAGCTACTGAGACTTGGCTAACTTAGCTGCAGGGCTTAGCTAACCTGGCTAGTTAGCCTACCGACTAGCGTTTTTACCTGGAAGGGTAGAATTACTAGCTCACTCTCTGCTTACCGAATGAGAGCCACGCTTTTGTTAGTCTCAAGATCAACATAGCACTAGCTTTCCTTGGCTAACACGAGGTGAAATCTAGCTACGTTCACATTGTTAAAGGGATACTTTGTGATTTTGGCAATGATTTTATCTACTTCCCCAGAGTCAGATGAACTCGTGGATACAATTTTTATGTCTCTGCGTGCAGTTTAGAGGAAGTTGCTAACTAGCGTTAGCGCAATTGGGAATGCTAGCTGTTTCTGTAAACTTCCAATCATCACGCTAACACTAGTTAGCATTGGCTCGTGAAACTATCGCTAACTTCCTTTATACTGGATGCAGAGACATATAAATGGTATCCACGAGTTCATCTGACTCTGGGGAAGTAGATCAAGGGCTTTAGTGCCAAAATCCTGAAGTATCCCTTTAAATAATTATCTGGTAAGCACTATGGTAATTAGCTATGCTACTAGCCCAAGTGGCGAACGTGAGTTACGTTTCCCTTTGTTCTCAGATTAGCTGTTTTTTGGAGGAATGGAGCCTGCTAGCTCAGCCCAAGGGGTACCGAGCAAGGCCCCGGCCCCTGCCCCAGCACTGGCACTACCGTGCCCATACAGAGCAACCATATCTGGCAAGGACACTCACCCCCATGTGTCGTCTGCCTAGGTTTCGAACACACGGAAGCAGAGTTCGATAATCCCCAGTCATGCATCCATTGTGTTTTCTTTGCAGCTAACACTCACTGGCAGTTTTTTGCTGCCGGAGAGTGTGTCGAACAGCCCTATGTGGCTCATCTCACACACTGCCTTCGAGCGAGGAGACTACTTCACAGATCCAGCCCTCATGGGCCGACGTCATGGATGGCTATCCCGAGGACCTTCACCCACTTTTCCAGTGCTTGGCCCCATAGGCAGAAGGGGACCTCATCATCGACGAAGACAATGGCGAGGGCATGACCGACCTCCTACAAGCAGTGGAGTAAGAAGAGCACGAGGAGGTGCAAGCTGTTACCTCTAGTCCCTCTTTCACCCTTAGCGGGGTATTGATGGCGGATGATAGATATTCGCTCCTTGATGTCTGCAAACGGGCAGCGACCAGACTCAGTATTGAGTGGCCCGAACCCGTGGGGAGTGGCAGCGTAGAGATGGACTGGTACGATGGAAGGAAACTCCCCTCTCGCACCATCCCAAGCAAGCAACTCCTCCCAGCTATCCCAGCTTGCATGGCGGAAGCCAAACGCAATTGGGACAAACCCTTGACCGACAAGGTTAAACCAGACTTTTTGCCAGCATGAATGTCAAGGACATGGAGGTGCTGGGCCTCAGCAAGCCACCGGTGGTCGAGCAGTCAGTGGCCAACCACCTCAAACACAGTTCCTCGTCATTAACAGGCACTTCTCTCCCTGGTAAGATGGAACGCTTCTCCATGTCCATCTACCAAAAGGTCTACATGTCTGCTGCACGTTCTGCACGGGAGTTGAATATTACATCCCTACTGCTGGCTTACCAGGCCGATTTGATGCTAGAGATGCATAATCTCCTAGCTATCGGCAAGCCTAACCCAGACTGATTCGCTGGCACCAGGGCTTTCCACAGGAGGCTTCCAGTGACGCAGTGGGAACCGACCCCACAGTTTGGATTCCCAAACATGGGCCAACAGTGGGGAAAACTGTCCTTTTCTGCAGCCGCATCAAGGTCCCGCCCATTTGATTCCCCTGCAGGGAAGAAGGGGTTCCCGACCTAGGGGTACGCCCCCTTATGCAGAGAGGGGCAGCCAACAGTTCACCCCGTGTTCTGTCCTGCCACCTCTCGGGTGGAGCACAGACTTCCCCTCACCACCACAATGGGGGAGAGGCACATCTGTGCTCCTAGAACCCTTCCCTTTGTGCAGCGACCCATTCTAATGCGTTCGCTCTCAAGGAAGATGGAGGGAATCTACTCTACCCCCGAGTGCCCGCCATACCACGGCTTTCCCCCCAGCTCAAGTTCAAGCAGAATTTAGGACTCAGTAGCGACTGCGACTCGGCACGCATACTAAAGCAGTAAATCTCCTCTCGATTACGATCAGGGCAATACAAGCGGCAGAGAGCCACCTTGGCTTCTACACTCGGTACTTCCTGGTTCACAAAGAAAGAGGAGGGGTTCACCCCAATTCTGGACCAATGGGTGCTAAACAGCTATCTGACAACGTTGCATATGCTTACATTCAACATGCTGTCTCTGTCTATTCGTCGAGGCGACTGGTTCACCTGTCGACCTGCAGGATGCTTATTTTCACACACAGGAGGTTTTTAAGGTTTTCTTTTCAAGGCACAGTCTATGAATACCATTTGGGCTAGCGCTAGCTTCCTGAACGTTCAGAAAGTGTGTAGAGGCAACCCTCACACCACAGAGAAACAAGGGTCTGAGAGTCCTACATAGATGATTACCTGCTTTGCTCCCCATCCCGGGAGCAAGCGGTACCAAACACAACGTAGGGTTCAAGATCAATCAGAAAAATAGCTGTTTGGTGCCAACACAGAGAATAGAATACCAAGGCGTAATGCTGGATTCTCTCTCGGACACCCTCGGAGGACTGCATCACGCCGTTCCGATAGTGCCTCTCCTTGTTCAACAGGGGGCGCTCGGTCACGTTCAAGATGTGCCTCTGAGTGCTGGGGTTGATGGCTTCCACCATCTCAGTAGTACATCTTGGCCTACTGAGGATGAGAGACTTCCAGCGCTGTACAGAGCGTCACCAAACTACCAGATTCGTCCGTCGGACTGCCAGATGGCGAAGTGTGATTCATCACTCCAGAGAACGCGTTTCCACTGCTCCAGAGTCCAATGGCGGCGAGCTTTACACCACTCCAGCCGACACTTGGCATTGCGCATGGTGATCTTAGGCTTGTGTGCGGCTGTTTTGCCATGGAAACTCATTTCATGAAGCTCCTGACGAACAGTTATTGTGCTCACGTTGCTTACAGAGGCAGTTTGGAACTCGGTAGTGAGTGTTGCAACCGAGGACAGACGATTTTTACGCGCTACGCACTTCAGCACTCGGTGGTCCCGTTCTGTGAGCTTGTGTGGCCTACCACTTCGCGGCTGAGTCGTTGTTGCTCCTAGATGTTTCCACTTCACAATAACAGCACTTACAGTTGACCGGAGCAGCTCTAGCAGGGCAGAAATTTGACGAACTGACTGGTTGGAAAGGTGGCATCCTATGACGGTGCCACGTTGAAAGTCACTGAGCTCTTCAGTAAGGCCATTCTACTGCCAATGTTTGTCTATGGAGATTACATGGCTGTGTGCTCTATTTTATACACCTGTCAGCAACGAGTGTGGCTGAAATAGCCGAATCCACTAATTTGAAGAGGTGTCCACATACTTTTGTATATATAGTGTATTTGAACTTGAGGAGAGCTAAAACAGCTTTCTTCCTTTTATGTCACATCCCAGGTGCATACAGAGCAGGTTGTCAGATAAGTGTGTGTGTGTGTGTGTTATGCAAATGTAGATAAGAGGGACTGTGAGGCATTAGCAGGGCATATATAGCATCAAAGCAGAAGGAAGCTACTTCAGTCTATTAAGATGAACCCACTGACAGTGGCTTCCTCTCCTCGTCTCCTTGTCTCCTCATGTCCTGACATTAAACTGGACCTTTCACCTTGCTACAAAGTCTAACCTGCCACACACATCAGTTCCCATCACTATTGTGCTTCAGTGGGACAGTACCTGCAGTGAGCTGCAGGGGAAGCTGGTGATGGCAGGATAGTCAGTGATCTGCAAGTCATGCACGTGGCCATTGAGTACGGCAGCCGACAGGTGGACCCGACGGGCACGGCTGGTTGCCGGGGCAGGCGCCTCGCTGTAGTCATCGTGGAGGAAGCGCTGCACGATGGCAGTCTTGCCCACGCCCTGCGCACCCAGCACGGCGATGCGGAAGGGAGGGGGCATGCTGCGCTCCCCTCGACCCCTTGCCGCCGCTCCGCCCCCCTCCCTGTTCTCGCAAACCACCGGCCAGTGCATTCAGGGTTGTGCAACGCATAGTCCCCACGGGCGCAGAGGCAGGTGTGGTGGTGGGGGGCACACTCGGCCCCATTCATAGGCCACCAACACCCCCTATCACACTAGAGGAGCGGGAGAGAAGAGAGGGTAGAAAAGGGAAAGGGGGAGTGAGAGGTATAGAGAGAGAGGGGGAGGTAGAGGGATTGGAGAGAACGGAAGAGTGAGATTGGAGAGAGTTGAGGAGGAAGACAGAAAAGGGGAACACACCAAACAGGAGCTTAAAGATGCACTATGCAGAAATCACTCCACCATTTCCTGGTTGCAAAAATTGTGGAGAGAATCATTGTACCATCTAAACCGCTGTGAAATATATTCTAATTCTGGATCACTCTATACTTGTCCATGAAAGTAGAGATTATTTTGGCAAGTGCATTCTTTTTACCACTGCATGCCTTTCATTCATCTACAAAAGGGAAACAAAAGCACTATGCTGCTAAGCAACCAACTAAAAGTAGAAATCCTATACACAAGGACACTCTGGGGAAGATTAAATAAGATATTCTGTGAAAGAAAAGACAATTGTCTAAATGAGATTGACAAAATTGAATGCTCAAATTAATTGTGACACAAAATATTTATTTAGTCACTTCAGTGTATTGTCTTCCAGATTGTTTATTGGAGGTGCTACAACTCTCCCTTGCAGTTTTGGAGCCAGTAGAGCAGGGTTCTTCAATTCCAGTCCTGGAGGGCTGAAACACCTCTGTTTTTCATCCTCTCCTTCTAATCAGGGGCTAATTCAGACCTGGGACACCAGGTGAAAAATCTGTCGATGTGCCCTTAAGCAAGGCACTTAACCCTAATTGCTCATGTAAGTCGCTCTGGATAAGAGCGTCTGCTAAATGACTAAAATGTAAATGTAAATGTGAGTGCAATTAATTACCAGGTAGAAATAAAAAACAGAAGTGTTTCGGCCCTCCAGGACCGGAATTGAAGAACCCTGCAGTAGAGCATGAAAAGACTAGACTAAGATTGCTTTTAGAAGAGCTACATGCACTGACCCCATTAATGACAGATGCAGTATTAATAAAGTATCACATAATTACCACTGATAGTTTAAAACGTTGAATGATTAATCTATGAAACAAACAAAACTACAATAATCCCCAAGATGCATGAGTCTATGACTCATACAATTCCCACCAAGTCTTTATCTGAAGCTGCACCATCATCATCAACTTCATTTTTAAGAAGACAACAATCACCATCCAAGCAAGTTGCCATTCCAACAAATTAAATGGAGAATCTGCAGTAGCTACATCCATTCTTAGATTTTTTTTATTAATTACATATTGTCGTAGTAAATATAAAATGTTATAGCTTGGTCTGACTAAAATCTTGTGCATGACCCATTTTAATGTTAGGAGCTTGTTTTCAATCAATGCTGTTCCTATGCAAGAACAATGGACAGAGGACCAATATCTTGTCAAGGACAACACCCACGCCACAGGCCACAATCTGGTTGCTCCCCACGAGTCTTTCCCATGAGACATACACATTCACACACACATCTCCATGCATACGCACACTCATTTTCATGCCTCACGAGTTCTTGCTCTGAGGACGCACACACACAAAAATGCATACGCACACACACACAACTGCACTTCTTTCTACTGGTCGGGTGCCAAGGGCAGAGGACTCTGCCGTGCACCAATGGGGCTTCTGCTCTGGACAGAGCAGACCCGCCTCCTACGCCTCGGGAACCAATCAAGGGACTAGAAGAAAGACCCTTTCTTTATGTTGCATTGTATAAAGTAATGCTGAAAACTCTGTTTTTGATCCCTTTTCAACTGTCTCCATAAGAGGCAACTGAATGGGTCCATGCATGTAGCTTGAGCAGATACCAGCTATCTCTGTGTTTAATAAACTGCCTTTTGCTTAAACATATTCCTCTCCGTCTAGCGTCGTTGGTTTTGTACTTCCTCTCCTGTATGGTTTCACCAACAATATACCCATTGATTCTTGAAGAATACAACTTATCATATGCCTCACGAGCTTAGTTCAACTGTCTTACACCATCAGAACCCAAATATTTAGGCCTACCCAAATTAGTCGACTAATATCTAATAACACTATCATCCAAAAACTAAACGGAACCGACATGAGCAACTGCGCAAAGACATACTCACCAATGTAGAAACTAAATGCAAAAAAATGAATAAATATTGGATGAAAAAATTATAGTAGCCTAGTAGGCTATTTGATCAGGCAAAATAGCACAATCACATATTAAAAAACAAAAACATGTTGACACCATCTTTGGATAGGCTTTATGGTTAGCTAATAGGTTTTCATGAAATGCAAAAATAAACTTAGGCATCAGACTTACATCCCAACTTTGTGAGAATATAAGCAAGTAGATCTGTAAAAATTAAGGATAAAATGAATCGAAATACACCACCTGTAGCTGCAACTCTAAACAACTCCAAATCAGTAAAAATGATTAGAAATAATAGGAACCTACAATCTTACCGTGCGCACAGGTATGGTTCCGATGCAGTGAGATGTGTATATTCCAATGTGCTGCTGCAAATACACCTGCGGTGATGCTGATGTGTGTATAACCTCATTCGTTGGCTTCCCAATGAAAGAGAAGTGGCTCAGGTTGATACAGTGAAGAGTCCTAAAGATAAAACCTCCTCTTTCGATAGTGGAGAGGCGGCACGCGGTCTAAACGCCTGTCAGATGTTGCAGGCAGCAAAATGGCATGAGACCTTACAGTGTGTAGGCTAATATAGACGTAGGGCTATCACATCACGTCTGCTGTAGCTTAATTGTCAGATGAGGTGTTAACAACCGAAATGTAGTGAACAATCTAGCCTTTGAGGGAAAGGTACGGTCCGCACAAGAATTAAAAGGGTTGACACTGCCAGAGATGTGTCAGATAAAGGTAGGCTAACTGAAATTTGAGTTATAGTCCTATCTCTTGTTAACATTTCCAGAACACTGTTGGAGTTTTGAGGTATTTGGGGACACTGGTGGGCGCGACGCACATATACCAGCGCGCTTTGCCTTTTGACTATTAAAAATAATACTAAAAAGATCCATGTGGTTTCTACACAATGCCTGGGGTTCTTACATCAGAAGTAGCCGACATGCATTGATTTTCCATCTGAATAGGTTTCTGAATAGCTTAAATCTTTGACTTTCATCTAAAGCCTTAACTCAAGTGTGTTGAGAAACATGTGCACCCGATGGGCAGTAAGGAGGCTGTTTCTTAGCAACAGTATATTTTGACCCTGTTGCTAAGTAACCACGTGCCACATACCTGTCTGGCCCAAGTCACCTCTCACAATCCTTTACTTAGTGGTGCACAACTCCATGATTTTGACTCCGACACCTGTGATTGTAGTCGAAGAAAGTATACTCTTGCTCGACTCAGACTCCTGGTTGGAGTCATATGAGTCGACTCTTGCTCGACTCCTAAAACAGATGCGCACACTTTTTTATTTATTTTTATTTTATTTCACCTTTATTTAACCAGGTAAGCCAGTTGAGAACAGGTTCTCATTTACAACTGCGACCTGGCCAAGATAAAGCAAAGCAGTGCAATAAAAACAACACAGAGTTACATATGGGGTAAAAAACATAAAGTCAAAAATACAACAGAAAATATATATACAGTGTGTGCAAATGTAGCAAGTTATGGAGGTAAGGCAATAAATAGGCTATAGTGCAAAATTGTTACAATAGTATTAACACTGGAATGCTAGATGTGCAAGAGATTATGTGCAAATAGAGATACTGGGGTGCAAAAGAGCTAAATAAATAACAATATAGGGATGAGGTAGTTGGGTGGGCTAATTTCAGATGGGCTGTGTACAGGTGCAGTGATCGGTAAGGTGCTCTGACAACTGATGTTTAAAGTTATTGAGGGAGATAAGAGTCTCCAGCTTCAGAGATTTTTGCAATTCGTTCCAGTCATTGGCAGCAGAGAACTGGAAGGAATGGCGGCCAAAGGAGGTGTTGGCTTTGGGAATGACCAGTGAGATATACCTGCTGGAGCGCAGACTACGGGTGGGTGCTGCTATGGTGACCAATGAGCTAAGATAAGGCGGGGATTTGCCTAGCAGTGATTTATAGATGGCCTGGAGCCAGTGGGTTTGACGACGAACATGTAGTGAGGACCAGCCAACAAGAGCGTACAGGTCACAGTGGTGGGTAGTGTATGGGGCTTTGGAGACAAAACGGATGGCACTGTGATAGACTACATCCAATTTGCTAAGTAGAGTGTTGGAGGCTATTTTGTAAATGACATCGCCGAAGTGAAGGATCGGTAGGATAGTCAGTTTTACGAGGGCATGTTTGGCAGCATGAGTGAAGGAGGCTTTGTTGCGAAATAGGAAGCCGATTCTAGATTTAACTTTGGATTGGAGATTCTTTATGTGAGTCTGGAAGGAGAGTTTACAGTCTAACCAGACACCTAGGTATTTGTAGTTGTCCACATACTCTAGGTCAGACCCGTCGAGAGTGGTGATTCTAATCGGGTGGGCGGGTGCCAGCAGTGTTCGATTGAAAAGCATGCATTTAGTTTTACTAGTGTTTAAGAGCAGTTGGAGGCTACTGAAGGAGTGTTGTATGGCACTGAAGCTCGTTTGGAGGTTTGTTAACACAGTGTCCAATGAAGGGCCAGATGTATACAAAATGGTGTCGTCTGCGTAGAGGTGGATCTGAGAGTCACCAGCAGCAAGAGCGACATCATTGATATACACGGAGAAAAGTGTCGGCCCAAGAATTGAACCCCCATAGAGACTGCCATAGGTCCAGACAACAGGCCCTCCGATTTGACACACTGAACTCTATCTGAGAAGTAGTTGGTGAACCAGGCGAGGCAGTCATTTGAGAAACCAAGGCTATTTAGTCTGCCAATAAGAATGCGGTGGTTGACAGAGTCGAAAGCCTTGGCCAGGTCGATGAAGACGGCTGCACAGTACTGTCTATTATCAATCGCGGTTATAATA